TTGTTCTCCCCCACTTTGCCTATGGGGGTGTGTCTGAACATTATAGCTTACTTATTTGTGTAGGCTATAGTGGGGTATCCCATAGGGGGTACAACCCAGGTAGGGTTTCCTATTTGTACTCACTTCGTTCATAGTTCACACATTCTCTCGTTCACTTCTTGACACCCCGGACCCTGATCCATCAAGATCCTATTGGAAAGTACCCTGAATCAGCCTGTACCGCGAAAAAAAAATTGGTGACTAGATACAAAACTACCGACAGGGGTACAGCGCAACATGCGAGATGTGCGGTGGGAAATGATGAAATTTGCACCGCTGTACAGATTTTTTCGCGCGTGGCTGTACAGCAACACATCAAAGTTGCCATCTCAACCAATCAGGACCCGCCGCAGCAAAGAACCCACGCGGCACGCGGCAACTTTGCCACGCTTAGCTTAAGCTCTCGGCCAACCTCGTCCACACCTCAAGTCACGACGGGGCGCCATGGCGCATGATCGTGGAACTCTCCAGAAGGAGGGTTTCCGTTCCATCTCCTCCTCTTCTCGACAGCAGTTCCTCCACCTCCTGCTTCATCCCTTTGTTGATGCTGGGCGAAACGTGATAGAATCATTCTTGTTAGTGTTTTTCCGCCCGCATTTTGCAACCTCCTCGACATCGTATCTCACACGTTGTTTCCGAAGCTGAAATCGTCTATGGCTTCACCGTCGCCACAGGGCGGCGGTGAAGCCCCCGTCATGCCTGACAAACCCGTAATTATTCAGCCCTTAACGGGCCTCGATTTCCTTCGTTTTGCGCCAGTCGTTCCCTCGCCAATAGTACCCTCGACAGCGGAACCGTCGCCGTCAGTACCATCGCCAAAAGAACCTCCGCCAGCGGCTCCTTTGCCACCAATACCTCCGCCATCGGCTCCGTCGCCAGCAGACCCTTCGCCTGCAGTTCCGTCAGGTCCAGTCACTGAGGTTGTCGTCGACAACTCGGACCTCCCACCGCCGATTCAAACACGGGCCGAATGCTCGCGTGCAGCCGTGCAAGGGTCTGTCCGTGTGGGACCCCCTTCCAAGAAGCTTGCAAATCCACGCTTCCACCAGACCAAGATCTCCTTCGAGCGCACATCCATGGCACCACCCAGGCAAGATCAAACCCAACCCACCGAGGCTACACGGACCGTTCTCTTATCAACCAGGCCCTCTGCTTCAGCCGACACAGTGTTGCCCGACATCGCTGAGAATCTTTACCAGGAAGCGCTTTTCAATTTCAAGAAGTCCTGGACTACTGATTTTCCTTGGCTTGTAATTTGCCAGACGTCTTACGGGTTTCCTTCTATGAAGTGTACCATCTGTATGGAGTATGGTGGCGCAGGGACGAATTTCGCGAGGGGTGAAGGGGCTACAGACGTGCAGACACAAGCCATGCGGCTTCACCAGCGGTCCGGGAAGCACAAGGATGCGCTTCACAATCAGGAGTTAGCTCTGGCGAAGGTCAAGAGCCAACAGCGAATCGAGGATCTCCCTCAAGCACGGGATCTAGAGCACGAGCAAGTGCGGGCTTTGTTGGAGACGCTCTTCTTCATCGCCAAGACTGATGCACCAATCGAGATGTGGGTGCAGCTTGTTCGGCATCTGGCTAGCCGTGGCACTCCGGGCTTCCCCAAAAGTGGCTACGGCTCGTACTATACCACGTAAGAGTGGGTTTTACTGCTCTTATTTTTGGTGATTCTTGTGGTGTGTTTCCGTATAACCTCAACCTTGTGTTGTCCTTCCTTGCAGGTACGGATTCCAGGAGCTTGTCGTAGCATCGGCAACCTACCTCCACGACCAACAGCGCGAGTACATCGACACAAGCCCGTTTATCGGGTTGAGCTGCGATGAGAGCACCGATCGTGTGCACGGGAAACACATGATTGTGTTTGTGACTTTTTTGCGAGATGGCTTGGTTGTCACGGAGTTTCTAACTCTACTTACTGTTGACAAGGGTGACGCAGGGTCCCTCTTTGGTGTCCTCACCGCGTACTTGGAGAGCGTCAACATCGAGCTGAGCAAGATCGCGGGAATCAGCACCGATGGCGCCATGGTGATGATTGGCGGGAGTACTGGTCTTGCCGCGCGGCTTCGCCTAACCGTTCCCCATCTCGTGTCAACTCACTGTATCGCACATCGGTATATCATTTACCTCTGAATATTGTTATTGTATATTATAGGGTGCATTCGCTAATTCCTGCGTGACATGCCCGCCCCTTTGGCAGGGAAGCTCTCGCTGCGAAAGACTCTGCGATCGCCTTGCCTGAACTCGGCCTCGTCGACTCCGTCATTCGTGCAGTTGCCGAACATCTCGGACGCTCCAGCAACTCTCACAAGACTTTCTTTGACCTGCAGAAGGTCTTCACGCAGACGAACCTCGAGGTTCAGGGCATCCATGCCGTGCGGTGGTTGAGCCGCGGTGACGCCATCGCCCGTTTTGTGAAGGTTTTCCCGGCGGTGGTGGTCCTACTTGAGCGGCTGGACCCCACGATGTACCTGGTGGTGACATCTCTGAAGTTCCATGTCTTCCTCTATTTCCTTGGAGATATTCACGTCGAGCTGAACATGCTCAACCTAATGTTCCAGAAGCGCGAGGTAATATGTTGTCAACGAATACGCGTGTATGCCTGTGCTTCTCTGTGCTTATTCTCCTCTCTGTTGTGCTATCCCTACCCTGCCCCCCCCCCCCCCCCCATCACCACCAACCTGCAGGTGGACTTCATGGCTGTGCAATCCCAGGTGCGGCGGATCCACGTGTTCCTCCAGGAGCGTTACATCGATTGCGGTCAGCAATTCGGGGGCGGTGCAAGCGCAATGCTGTCGCCGTTTCTCGCGCGGCACAGCTCGCCGTGCAGCCAAGACGTGCGTGTGCAAGGCGTGGACGGTGATCATCAGCCATGCACTCACGAGTTCACTCTGCATGAGACAGCTGTAAAGGGCTACACCACCAGCGCGGGAGACCTCCAGTCGTGTGTGCGGACATGTCGGTCGTTCGCGACGGAGCTAATATACAATATTAACTTCCGCCTCAGCAGTCTGTCAACCCTCAATTCTGCTAAGCTCTTCATGCCACGCACCTGGCCGCGGGGAAGAGAGGCGAGAGACGCGGAGTGCCTTGAGCATCTGGACGGCCTCTACACCATGTTCCACGCGCGCGAGCGAGAGGAAGTTCTACCAGGTGAGTAAACCTCCCCCTCGTATTCGTCTTTGTGATTTGCTCCGGTATACGATTTTGTTGTATGTGTCAGTAAGCGTGATATGGCCCCTTGAGTTGCACTGCGGTCCCTTGCTATCCATCACCCGTCCCTTCTGCCAGGTGTGACGAAGCGGGAGTGCAAAAGGGAGATGCGGACCTTCTTGTCGGTTCTATCCGGGGCGCCGAAGGAGGAGCAGGCCTTCCATGCGGGCCTGAAGGCGATGATGGCCACTGTAGACTGGCCGAGGAGCTACCCCAACCTGGTGCGGCTGTGGGTAGCAGTGGCGGTGTTGCCGATTAGCACTGTGGAGTGCGAACGCGGCTTCTCCCGACAAAGCATCATCAAGAGTTGGCAGCGGACGGGATTGCACGACGCAAAGCTTGGTGATCTCATGACGCTGAGCTTGCTGGAGTACGACGTCGAGTGGAAAGACCTTGTGGAGCTGTGGCGCAGCACGAAGAAGCGCCGCCCAACCAAGCGTAAGAGCAACCCCCCTCATGCCGTGAAGAAGCGTGGTGGTGGTGGTGCAGCTGATGGTGGCAAAGGCAACAGCAGTGACAGGCAGCAGGAGAAGGCCGACCATGGCGGTGGCGGCTATGACTCAGATGATGATGTTGCAGGAGGATCTAGTGATGGTAATGATGTGCTGATGGAGGATGCTAGATGGATTTGAATAATGATTGTATTGTCAGAACGTGGAATGAAAATGTTTCACATACATAACAGTGTTGGTAAAGTAGTTTTTTACCCCCCTGACAAATCAGGATTACACTAGTCTTTACCCTGACAGGGCATGATTACATTAGTATTTACCCTGTCAAAACAGGATCCTGAATGCACCTACACCTCAGCACTGATCAATCAGGGCGATTTTTTTTTTTTGGGGGGAACTGCCCTGATGGGTCAGGGTCCCCTGAATCCTATCTGAGGCCCTGGTGCAACGTATCTTCGTTGTTTCAACGACCCCATCAATCTCGGTTGCAACATTGATATGCATTAGCATCCATTTCGGCACGTTCACAAACACTTGTGTCGTCGTTCATTCGGTATCCCGTGTCAGTTGCACTCGTACATGTTGATGCTATGTTATATTGTTCGATCATACCATCCGCCGTATTAATCGACGATGCTGGGATGGTCGGACATGTTTATGGCTTCAACATGGAACGCTCGTAATTGGTTTCACGTTTTGGAAGATGTAATTCAAAGTGTTGTTTTTAGTCACTTTTTGGGCATTTGCTTCAAATGTGTGCCCCAAAAAATGATTTGAAAAACAATCTTGAATGATATCCCCAAAAAGTGGAACTGATTATATAGGGTTGCTACGCAACCCAAAAAAATATTCTCTGGGGGGAAAAGGAACTCTCTCAACGAGGGCCTCTAACCCGGAACATTTGTACAGTAGGATACAGTGAGTTGCATAGTGTGGTATACTGTATTTCTCTGGGTTCCTGCATGAAATCCCGTGGTTCTAAGGTTTAGGGTGGCCTGACCTTAACCGAGCAGCCCTCCCCCGCTTGCTCTCCACGAGTACAGTAAGGATGCGGCACCTGTTTTCAAATTGCCACGATCGATCCTCGCGGGGATCGATGTGTTGGCTCTACAGTATTTTGACGACGTCGCCAAAGATATGGTATCCTTTGTCGCACATTTTCGTCTACGTACAGTAAATATGTCAGCAAAAAGGTGTCACCTGGGGCTCGCAAGATCGATGTGCTTGCGCCCTCACATCGATCGTATAATTGTGGGGTTCGGGGCAATTTTGCCCCAGAACTCTGCGATCGTGTCACTTGAGGCTCGGTGTGTCTAGGCGATCGCAAAAGACAGTTGGGCACACCGGTGTGCCCATCGATCGAGGCAGGATCGATGTGAGGCCCCGAACCTCCTCCAAACGTGCCAATTTGAAAACAGGTGCCGCGTCCTGATGTGGAGTTGGGGGAACCAGGAACGGCATTCATGGGAGTCTGGACGGAGGGACGGGTTGCGGAAAAGGGAAAATGCCATCGCGTTGCTCGGCAGCACGCTGGGGAGGGCCTTCCCGCTTTGACCCATTTCTGAAGGCGGTTTCTTGCTCCATCCTTGAAGAAATTGTGACCCATTGCTGTGATTCAGCTCACCGACTACACTTACTCTCAGACTAAGACAATAAATAAATAAATAAATATCACGTTTCACCTATAAATAAAACAAATGGTACTCTTTATAGGTACTTCCGCACCCCAGAAGCTATTTGTAATGGATCTGATTCATCTGCCTACAGATTAGAAAATACTTTGGTTGTTGTCGTCGTGTGGAACAAACTTATCGTTTTCGTAGGCAGCCATGGCCTCCTCCCTTGTAAGGACATGGCCATTTCCATTCCACATGGACCATGACAAGTGCCACTCTCGCCCATTAGTAGCACTTGGCCGCCATAGCTCCACTCTCTTTCCGTGCTCCACTTCTATGCCTGCACATGCCAAGTGGTTGAACCGGCAATGAAATAACAGCAGGGTCAGAAAATGGCTTCCACTTGAGAATTTCAAGCCATGCAATGTATGCAGTCAGACTGCTTGCACGAACCTTGAGCATTTGCGATGCTGTATGTCGATCTGACGAGAGCACTGATGGTTGATGATTCCACATTCTGCATGGACTCACTTCCTTTCAGCACAGCGACTTCCTCTACCATCACCGAGAATGATAGGTGCGATGCCTTCAATTCCTGCATGTCCAAAGCCGAAATTTGTGAGACATCGAGACACAAATACTCTTGGAAAAGAGAACAAATAGAACAGATACTATTGGCATCCCTCATAAGAGGGAGCTTAGTGTGATGAGCTTGTAACGACCATACAGCAGAATCGGGAGAGTGGGCTTACATTGAGCAGGTTTGCCTTCTCCTGTTCCGTTGCAAGAGTCACGCTGTCAGCACCCGGAGCCATGAGCGTCACGGCGTCGGGACCGAACAGGATAGACGAGGCCGACGCAAGGTCGTCAGCCGCGAGAGCAGACACAAACGCACTCCACGCTGTTTGGACGTAGAAAGTCACATCCGACTGCTTCGGCTCCTCGCCTTGCCCCAGCGTAGCCTTCACCTCGTGCTTGTCCCCGTTACTATCTTCCTCGTTGCTGCTCTGCGCTGCCTTGACGTCGTCCAGGTGTCCGAAATCGTCATCCATCCTCAGAATGTCTGGAGTGACGTCTGCTGGTTCTGCTGCCGGTTGTTCTGACGGCTTCGCTGCCGTTCCGAGGTCAGGAGAGACGGAATAATCGGCGGAAACGTTAGCAGTGAAAGGAACCTTTTTCGCGGGAACGCCGTTTTCGTCGCGGGCTTGCCACATTAGCCAGCTGAGACCCCATTTGGAACAATCCTCGTTATAAGCGTCCTCAGCAGGCCAAACTTGGTCCCAGAAAGTGAGGAACCGCCCCCCGATTTTTTCACTTCCAGACTCAGCGCCAGGTGCGGACGAATGGACGGATCCAAGGACGACAAGCGCGTGATCCGCGGGCTTGTAGAGGCTGTTGAGGAGGCGATGCGATGTAACGGACTCGACAGCGAACGACGGATTAGGGATTGAGTCGCTAAGGCGTCTTAGGGCGTCCGCTTTATCCTGAGGTCCGAAGGACGTCCACTCGTCCGCTCCGGGCGCCATGAAAACGCTTCGCGTCGAAAACACGCGACAACTGGACGCTCCGTGGAAGTTGGAGAGCTCGCTCAACCCCGTCGCGACGCATTTTGCGACATTCCCGCCGCGATTGGCGACGGCGTCTGCATGTGGTTCAGTATCAGTGCTTGCCGCTGCGGGTACGTGCGGTATTTTCTCGGAGCCGCTGCGCATGGACGGCAGCCATCGCGCGCGAACGAAAGAGGAGCTTGCTGTTGAGAGGACGAGGACGAGCAACAGAGCGGGGACAGGAGTTGTCGCGGCCATGGTTTCAATCGAAAGTAAGTACTACTGGAGTATGATACGCTAAGAGCCGATTAGCTGCGATCATATAGTTCCGTGGCTTGTCGTCTCTGCTCATCGAATGCGGAAGAACCTGCGGGCGCGGGCGCTTCCAAAATCAGCCCTTTTCCCTGTTTGGCTTCGTCCGCCATGGGGAGGGGACGGACGCATCGACGCCACGTTTGTCCCAAGTCCGAGGAGGTCAACCGATACCACAGTAACACTGCTCAGCATTGTGGTCTTGCTGTCGTGGAAAAGGCTGTGGCTTCTGACCTTTTCTCATCAATGGATAGCTTGTGCTCACAGCTATGGAGGTGTCTACTCATATGTGCTGGCGGTGATAACGCGTGTAGGCGCGAGGGTGTAGTTTACTGTGCGGAATTGCTCTGCTGAATCAGCTAGGGGGCAAATTTGACAAAATTGGGCTCTGGGCGACAGTGATTCTTAGCTCATTTCGGCAAATCTGACTCGCCCAGGCATCGAGTGGACGAGAATGACGAGCGATCCTGGTTTTGTTTTTCAACAACACCCTCGACACTGAAATCGTTCTTTTTCAGTCCAGCTGTCTTTCTGTCATGGCGACAGAATGCTAACGAGTGGTTTCCGCCCAGCATTCCAACCGAAAGAAAAGGGACACTGCGTTTAATTGTACTCATTACAGTACAGAACTCCGCGTACAGCTGGCTCTGTATTTGGCTGGCCGGGACAAAAGCGACAAATTTACCAGCTGTTCGCTTTTTCTCTGGATTCACGGAACAAGCAGCTCCACTATTCTGTGTATCCAACCGATGTTTATGATGTTCTTGTCTATTCATGCTAACTATGTGTTGCAAAACTGTGGCATTTATGGTAAATGAAGATTGGCAGAATGATTTTCTCCAACAAATTTAGACATCAAGGCACATGAGCAAGCAACCACCATACATTTGTTGCAACCTAGACGCATTGCTGCAGATGCTGGCCACATCAGCTTTAGTTTGCGAGCCTGCTCTGCTTCTTCGTCTTGCGGCTACCCTCCTCAGCCTGTTAGCACAAAAAGCCAAGGAATATATTATTAGCCACATGCCGAAACGAGCTGCAAACCTTCTCATTGCCTAGACAACCCCTTATGAAAAAATCATACACCATCTCAACGCCTTCAAATTTTGAAATACCTGCTCCAGCATTATTTCTGTGAATTTATGTGGGTTTAGGGAGTCTCACCTCTTTCCTGACCTCCGCCTCCTTCTCTGAGAGAATCAACTCGATGTGGGACGGGGACGACATGTAGGCTGCACAGAACCAAAGGGACAGAGACGAGACGGGAGGGGAAAGAGAAAGGAAGGGGAGGGGGAAGGACAGGGGAGGGGGAAGGACAGGAAAGGGTGGGTATAGCTAACAGGAGAGTTGAGCTTTCAGGTGATTGCAGGGACGGACAGACAGAGCTGTGGGCAGCATAATTTAGAAGGGCGAAAAACATGAACATATGCATTGAGATTGAATAGTAGGGGCTTGAAGGTGGCATGCATCGGCTTGTAAGGGTTGTGGGGGCAGGGATGGGATGCGTAGGCTGCACACATTTGAAGGGCTGGGCAATGGGTAGAGCGGGTGGGAGGAGGGACCAGCGTGTGGGGGGTAGGATGATGGTACGGTTGTGGAAGGCAAACAAGGCTGGGAAGGGGCAGCGCGAGTGGCGGAGGGGGGCGGTGGGGGAGGGGCGCGGTGCGGGAGGGGCGCAGTGAGGGAGGGGCGCAGTGGGGGAGGGGGTTGGCACTCACGGTTGATGCGACCGTGCACGCGGTACGTGCTTTGAGACGTCGCAAAACGGCAGCGCAGGTGGGGGAGGCGCGGGGCAGGGCACTGACGTGCCCCAGAAATAGTGCCATAACACGCGGGTGGGGGAGGCGCGGGAAGGGTTTGGCACTCACGGTTGATGCGACCGTGCGCGCGGTACGTGCGGCGGCGCTGCTTGGGCGCGCGGTTGACCTGAATGTGGCTCACGTGGAGGGAGTCGACATCAAGCCCCTTCACCTGGTGGGGGGGAGCGGGGGGAATGCGGGGGAATGAGGGGGGGAGAGGACGAGTGAGTGATCGGAATGGGAGCAGATTACGAAAGTAGGGTTCGCTTGAGTGCGCGGTTGACCTGAATGCGGCTTACGTGGAGCGAGTCGACGGCGGCGGGGAGGGGCGCAAGGGAAAGGGGGGACAAGGGGGGGACGGACTTGGAAGTACAAAAGAGGGTTCTAATAAAAACCCGATTCACCAGTGCTCACGTGTTCGGGTACAGTAAGCATTCAAGATCCTGAAACGTCGTCGAGATTGTCACGTTCTGCAATATAAATTCCGGACGATCTCGAACCTGCCCCTCGAGAGTCGCTCCGCGTGCAAACCCTCCACCAGTACCGTTCTTTTTTTCGTTTCCAAAGCCACCAGGCATACGTCTCCCACTTCCGCTTCCACTCAGTTCCAGTTTAAAACGTCTCGAACCTCTTTTCCGTCCATCAGTCCCACGCTCCCTCTTTGCCGTTCCTAAAACCTAAGGAACACCTCTCCAAGTTCCTCTTTCACCACCGTTTCCCGCCTCTGTCCCCCCTACAGCTTCCGCTTCCGCTTCTGCTTCCGCTCGCGGCGCCGCGTTCCCATCCGCTTCCGTTAACACTACCGCTCCCGTTTGCGATTCCGCCACGCTCACGGCCAGAAGGCGCAGAACAGTTACGGCACTCTACCAACGTCACCAAAAACGCAGTCTGCTAGTGTGCAACCTTGCGCGACAGGGCCCGTGACTCAACAGACTGCCGTGACGAACGACGAATCGAACGGTCCACAGCTTCCGATCCCTAGGCCCGCTCCTCTGCAGAACAACCCCTGAACCCCAATCAGCTATACTTTCTAATTCCTGAATTCCGCTTGGATAACTGCTTACGACCTAGGGGCTGCTCTCGGGGGTTCGTGATCCGGTTCAGCAGGAAGCGAGCGTCCTCAGTACCGACGCCTACCAACGAGTACCTACCGACGTACCTCGGCGTTGCTCTCGGCGTTCTTGAGCAGGTCGAGCAGGAAGCGACCTACACACGCCCTCAGTACCGCCGTGCACCGACGAGCACCGACGAGTAACACAGCAGAGACGTACCTCGGCGTTGCTCTCGGCGTTCTTGAGCAGATCGAGCAGGAAGCGCGCGGACTTGGCGGGCCAGCGGCCCTGGCCGTTGGTGTGCACCAGCTTCACCTGCGCCGTGCGCCCCACGCCGCCGCAGAAGCGGCGGAACGGCACGGCCTGCTTGTGCGCAATCACGTCCTCGAGGAACCGCTTCGCCTTGGTGAGATCCATGTGCTTGATCGCCTGCGCTGTCTCGCGCGTGTTCTGTGAAAAGGGGGAACGGGCAGAGCGGGGGGAGGGGGGAAGTGTGGCGGAAAGGGAAAACAGAATGGGGGAGGGGGAGGGGGAGAGCCTTGGTGAGATCCATGTGCTTGATCGCCTGCGCTGTCTCGCGCGTGTTCTGATGAGGGGAGGAAGGGGGGGAGGGGGCGGGGAGCAAATGGCACAAGGGGAGCAAGAGAGGGGCGTACATGGGGGGAAGGGGAGGGGGATTGGTGAGCTGGTCAGAATTTGGAGTCGATGAAAGAGTAGCAGAAGCGGCGGAACCGCACGGCCTGCTTGTGCGCGATCACGTCCTCCAGGAACCGCTTCGCCTTGTGCTTGATCGCCTGCGCTGTCTCGCGCGTGTTCTGCGCGGGGGAAGTGGGGACAGGGCAGAGAAGGAGGAGGGGGAGGGGGGGTGTGGTGGAAAGGGAAGACGGAATGGGGGAGGGGGAGGAGGGGGAGCCCCGGTGAGATCCATGTGCTTAATCGCCTGCGCTGTCTCGCGCGTGTTCTGCAGAGAGGGGGGGGGAGGAGGTGGAGAGGGGAGGGATGCGAGGGATGGGCGAACTAAGGGGAAAGGGTAAGAGGGGCGGGGGTGAGCAAGGAAAGGGAGCGAGGGTGGATGGAGTAGGGCGCGAGTCTTGATCAATCCGTGAGTTGGGAGTCGGTTTGGCGATTGGCACCAGGGAACGATGGTAACACGGAACATGTGGCCTTAGCGAAAGGGGAATGGAAAGGGTACGGGGGGGAGGGGAAGCCGGGAAGGGAGAGAGAGGACGAGGGGGGCGGGGGTTCCCAGGGAAGGTGGGGGGGGAGGGGGGGGGGGGGAAATAGGGGAAAGGAGGGAGAGGGGGGGTTACTGTGCTATATCAATACAGGAAGTGTCATTGTATTAAGCAAGCAGAAAATTCAACACAAGGAATGCTGGAAGCCAATCATGACGAGAAGCGGGTGTTACCTTAAAGTGGACGCGGAAGTATGAGCCTCTCGCCTTGCATGCTGCAACCAGAGTCGAACAGGGGGTGCCAAAAATGCAGACAGACGAGCAGACGAGCAGGGGAAGGGAAGAAGTGAGGAGAGAGGGGGACGGGCGAGGGAAGAATGGGGGAGCGGAAGGGAGGCGTGAGACGACGACGAACCGAATGTGGCTTCAGGACTAAGGTCGCCCAACATTTGCATCATGACATGGGAAAGATTCGTTCCTATCGCGAAACCACGCAGGAACGCGTCGTACTTAACATCAAATTATAACGTACACCAACCTATCCCGCGCAATAGCAGCTACCTGAGACAATCTGTCTATATGGATTGGCCTGGCTTAGTTTGCCTTCACCAAGACGCCTCCAAGATTCCTGGTTGATTTGCTTTAGCCTACTTCTGAACCCGACCGCTGCCCGCGAGGAAAAGTGCGCGTCGTGCTTTGACATGCCGACTCTAAATCAGTGCCGAGACTCCAAATCGCGGCGCGCTCGACTCGAGCGGCCCACTTGCCTTACTAGAGCTTTGCACTAAGTGACCATCTGTCCAAAACCGGCCGGGGTCGCAATCGACACGATCAAACAACGTGCTCTGAGAATCACTTTATCTAGCCGAACGAAGGAGACGGCGACGAAAGGCTACATGAAAAACGCACGGCGCCGATCAATCGCCCACTAGACCTAAGTCGCGAAGATTCGGGGTAGCAATGTGTTGCAGGGACACGTGATGCGATGCCGTGGAGTCTACAGGCCAGAGGCTAAGCCGGAACGTACATTTGGTGGCGTTGGCGGGTTCCCTCGCGTACTTCACCTGCACAACAGGAGCACAAGAGAACGTACGAATGACATTGCGATGGGACAAAGTTGGGACGAGACGAATGAAGTCGGGATGAGTCCGATAGGATACGGATTGATATGAACACAGACGCAGAGTTGCAGAAAAGGCTACGATCGCTAGGCAACGTCAGAGCAGTCAGCGCGGGTTGCGATCAGAGGAGGAGCGAGCAACATGCTGCGAAGGTCGACGTTTCACTCTCGAGCATCGATTCTGAAGCACAAGCTATCCTTGACGGCACTTTGCCATAATAACTGGGGTGCGCGACACGACCGATTCACACTAACGAGTTATGCATTGCTCACCATGGTGACGTGTGGGGAGGAGGAAGAGAAGGGACGAGACTACGCAGGAAAGGAGAAAGAGAAAGTGGGAGAGGAGATTTTAGGGTTAGCGAGCAGAGGGAGTTGGAGGCTTGGAGGGAGGGGAGGGGGGCTGTGAGGAGAAGGTGAGAGACGAAGGTGGGGAAAATTGTCCTCGATCAAAGTAACGATGACAAAATTCTAATTCAGCACAACTTTTAGTTCCAGTAGAATTGGTAGAATGGTTTCTGAGGTGTAGACGAAAAGCAGAGATTGCTGGTGAACAATGAAGGGAACTGGGGACTTCGATGGTGGTTGACCACAAGCTGTGAAACTTTACGCGCTATAGAAAGAGGTAGCTTCGGTTTGTGCTTTCTCTCATCACGTCCTGTTTTCTACATAATGCAGAAAACGATTCGCGTGATGGATGTCTGCCTCGTTCCAGCAGCATGCGGCTCGCATGTCAAATGTGCGACTCGGAAACTATCACCTAAAATCCAACCAAGCTTCCAGTCTGGAATAGCTGCTGGGCGACACTTGTTCCATGCTGAGAACCTCTTTCCCACGCCAAATTCCGCAGCTATGGCCGCCAGTTGTGCCACAACCGGGGACAGGAGAGCACGCCATTGCGTGCCGCCTAACGTTACTTCCGTCGTCGAACTGATTATTCTGTATTCTAACCTGTTGCTTCTGCTGAAAAGGCCTGCCATTTCCCACCTAAACCCGTCTTTGCTTCCTGGATATCTCTTGCAAATCCTTTCCCACCCGTGGCTCGAATCCTTGAAGGATCTGCATAGCCCTCACGGCTATCCGCGCCACCATGGCTCTCCTCTTCGTATTCCTTCTTCCTCTGCTCCTATCCATCTCATCTAGCGCAAATGGCGCCCAAGCATCCGCTCTGGCTAGCAGACGCGGGCTGCAGCAGGGTGGGCAGCCGACCTGCCCTGCGCAGTGCCAGGTGGGGCCCCGAGGGCCGCTCGATGGCTGTGACTTCGCCTTCGAAGGCTCCAGCGACTCCATCCCCACCTTCAAGTGAGCGCTGGAAAAATTATCTTCGTTTTCTGCTTGCACAATTGATATTTCCGCTTGCATTAAAATGATTTTCATGTGATGCCCCTACCTGTGGTTCGTTGCGTGTTTACAATTCTTCTAGAAACTGATTTTCTTTCAGGAATTTATCAACAGCGGGTTCAGCAGGATTATTTACTCAATGCGAATTCTAATCAACCGCCCTCCTCTCTTCAGTATCATGCCGCCCAAGGTCACTGGAAAGGATCTCACCAAAAGCCAACACATGTCAGAAGGAGGCAGCGCCATCCAGCACCGGCATCGCCACCATATTGACTCAAAATTTTGCTCCCCCCCCTCTCCTCCCCTCCTCACTCCCCCTGTGCGTGCATCCCGGTCCAGCATCGTACCGCCCAACGCTACTGCAGGTGACTTTGCCATCAGCCCGCCAGTGGTGGTGAAGGAGGGCAGTGGAGTAACCATCTCCAGCACGGGCATCGCGACCTTCTTCTGCACCACTGCGCTCACGGGCCCGTGCGACGCTGGTAACCAGTTCTACATCACCTCCGAGGGCAACAGCTCGCTGGTCTTCGTTCGCTCCTTCAGCCAGGTGGGGTGCTTGATCTTCTAACAATGACATAGTGGGGAGAAAGCAGTTCCGACAGTTGCCCGTGAATGTTTCTGTATAGAAGAACTCATTCCTGACCTATTTTTTTGCTGCTTATCTCCTACGGATGGCAGTGGTTGTCTTCGGATGGCAAATCTCTGCACGCCTCGTGCCATGTGCTTCTCACGTGTTCCTCTGCGTTTTGGGTGTGCGTGTCTTTCCCCTGTGCAGCAAGCGGTGGCCTTCTTTCAGAACAGGTGGGTACGGCTGCCCATCCTGACAGCCCAGATCCCACAGGGCGGCACCGTGCTGAACATCAACCCCGGGGATAACAACCCCACGTACCCCGAGGCACGCCGGTGCGTCGTCTTCAAGACCGGCCCCAACCCCCCCAGCACCTCCTCCTGCTGCCCTGCCAGGGCCATGCGCCCGCCGCCTCCCCGCCCCAGAACCTAGAGGTTGGATCCATTGCCCACAGGAGCAATACAGTGGTGGAATGAAGAAATGTTGGGATAAAGGTTAGTGGGCGATATGTGAATGGAGTTAGGGTTGTCATGTGGCAGGGCGGGGTAAAGTGTGGGAGGGGCACGGGGCAATGGGCAAGGGAATAGAGCATTTGTTTTCAAGGATCAAATAGTGGATGTTGTTTCTTACAATCTGTGGACGTTGGGCTGGCACAGAACACAGGTTCAAGCAAAAGATTTTGCTAGTCCAAATTCCCTCGCAGCTGTTCATCAGGTTGTGTGATCGATAAGGGTTTGGTTTGAAAATGGAGGCACACTTTATATGTTTCAATTTGAAAGAAGATATAAACAATTGGTTTAGTTTCTCAATATTGCCGAATTTGCAATGCACAACGAAAGATGTGGCTTTTACCTTTCACGATAGAATCGCGGATGACACGGCACCAACATCGAGATTGTCTGCACGATAACCGCAAGTAGACGACTGCAATGAGAGCATACCGTTCTCTGATCTGTGAGCAGCCCGTCACGTCTCTGAGCTGCAGATTACTCGCATTGTCCACGCAACTCTGCGATTGGTCGAAATGGTGTTCACCTCGATACCGTGTTGGCGTCATTGTGACGCAACGGTCGTACTTGATTCGCGGACACATGCGGTCCGGTCGTCACTCTCAGCGAGCATGTATACGCCGTCGTTGCGAACGTCGTTGGGGTTAGCTAGCGACGCGAGCTGGTCCAGGATCGTTTCTAGGAATCTCGTGGCAATCGATCTCATAATTCCCGGCACGCATCGTGGCTTGCAGCGCGCCGTTCGTCCAGGCATTTGTTACCTGGACTGGAATAAGCATGGGAACAACGCGAAGGGTACTCAATATAAGCGATTGCTTGTTAGGGGGCATAAGCAGGGGAATTATCGAGGACATGACAGTCAAGTTCAGGAGGAAGCGGAAGGCAAAGGGGAGAGACTCCATGGCGGCGGGATAGTAGAGAATGCGGACGTTGATGACTCGGATTCACGCGCACGGTCCATTCGGCATAGTCACACCCACGACGGGGCTTATGGTCATGAGCACGCACATGCTCATAGTCACATTCATGACCAGAATCATATCCATGATCAACATCATCACCATGGGCATGGCACACAATCACATTCACATAACCATGACCATCACACACATTCACATTCACATTCACATTCACATTCACATTCACATTCACATTCACATTCACATGACCATGACCATGACCATGACCATGACCATGAGCATGACCATGACCATGACAACCATGATCATCATAAACATTCACATTCGCATTCGCATGCCCACTCCCATGCCCATGCCCATGACCATGACACACATTCACATCCCCATAACCATTCACATGACCATGACCATCAGGCACATTCACGAGCCCACAGCCATACCCCTGGCCACAGTCACACCCACAGCCACCCCTCCAACTCCTCCTCCCCATCCTCCATCCCTCCCACCTCCTCCAACACCCACCCCTCACCAACGCACCCATCCTCACCGCACTCCCACCCATCCTCACCGCATCAACCGCTCTTCCTCCCATCCACGTGGTGCCCACGGAACCCCCCACTGAAACGCGGGGAAGGAGCGGGGAAGCTTCTGTTCATAGACGCACACGTGGCAGGGGCGGCAGGGGACATGCTAGTCGCGTCACTGCTGGACCTAGGCGTGCCATCAACAGTGGTGGAGGGGGCAGTGGAGGCCATGGGTCTTTCACATGTGACCTGCAGGGTGGAGGCCACTCAACGATCCGCTATCACTGCTCCGCTGTAAGTGCTGTTTTATGTAATGGTAGCATTGACCCAAGGGATCATGCCAGGGGCGGCATTGCTGGGTCTGGGAGTGCCAGAAGCGGTGGTAGAAGAACCGGGCAGTGCGGGCGATGGGGCTGTCTCCTGTGACCTGCAGGGTGGAGGCCACTCAACGATCCGCTATTGCTGCACCACTGTAAGAGCCGACTTTTTTTTTTTTTTTTTCCTCGTATCTCGACATTCGTGTCAAATTTCGTTTCTGTTGTACGGCCACATTGTTTACAGCTACGAGTGCATTTGCACTGGATGTATGTAGGTATGTATTAAGGCAGTACCGTGTGCACCACCTTACTTGCTTGATGTCAGCTCCTCATACTCCGTGCGTGATCTTTGAGTCAACTTAATACATAATAGACGTCAACTTCGGCTTGCTTAGTCGATGTCACCTTCTCATACGCAATCCCTATCACTACGTCTGCACATACTCCTTCCCACTTTCCTCGCACCTTCCTCTTCCTCTTTCCGGCACCTTCCTGGCAGCTTCTCGGTGGATGACGGGGCGAACCAGCCCTACAGGGACTACGCGGCCATCCGCCATCTGCTGGCCAATAGCAGCCTGCCACGTGGCGCCAGGGACATTGCCAGCCGGGCGTTTCGGCTGCTGGCGGAGGCGGAGGCGTGTGTGCATGGCATGGCCGTGGATGACGTGCACTTCCATGAGGTGATGATGATGTAATGTTAATGGTTGTGTTGCATGTATATATGATCATACATCGAGGCATGCACCCATGTAGGCGTGCACATCTACACCCATGCATCCATGGAGGCGTGCACATCTACACCCATGCATCCATGGAGGCGTGTGTGCATGGCATGGCCGTGGATGACGTGTATTTCCATGAGGTGATGGTGATGGTGATGTGGTGTTGTTATGTATGTATAAAATGATCATGCACCTGTACAAATGCACCTATGCCTCGGTGTTCTCATGCTTTTCTTGCTGCAGGTGGGGGCAGTGGACAGCATAGTGGACATGGTGGCGGCAGCAGCAACAGTGAATGCCTTATGTTCACCCATTCACGCATACACGTCTGTGTAAACCCATGCACCCACATAACCCATACCCCCTATGTGCAGGTGGGCGCGGTGGACAGCATAGTGGACATGGTGGCGGCAGCAGGACTGACATAGTGGCAGTGACAACAGTTGACGCCATACATGCACCCATGCCCTCATGCAACCATAACCCTCTGTTCCTATGTTCTCCTGCCACAGGTGGGCGCGGTGGACAGCATAGTTGACATGGTGGCAGCAGCAGCAGCCATAGACTACCTCGCACCATCGCACATAGCAGCCTCGCCCCTCCCCATGGCACGAGGAATCATCACCGGCGCTGCTCACGGCCCCCTGCCCTCCCCTGCCCCCGCCACTCTTGAGATCCTGTGCCGGTGAGTTGACCCTGTGAACCGAGTCAACCCACTGAATGCAGCAAGCCTACTTGCCATCTAACGAAGCATCATTTATTCAACAGATCACTGCAGCGTGCAGGGGAGAATAGGTCACCCCCACAAAAGTGCCTCTCCTCACTGCCATCGTCCACACCCGGACCCCCTTTTCCCTTCCATGTATTCTTCCCTTCCTTCCTCTCTTCTTTCCTCCTCCCACGTTCCCAACAGAGCATCTATCCCAACGTTTGCTGCAGGCTGTAAGGGCAAGCTCGTCACCCCATCAGGGGCGGCTCTCCCTGCTGCCATCACCCACACCTGGACCCCCTTTCCTGTTTCCTGAACACCGTTCCCCACTCCCTCTCACAACAGGGCCAATATCCCCACTCCTCTAGGGTGAACTCGTCACACCCACAGGCGCAGCTCTCCCTGCTGCCATCGCCCACACCTGGACCCCCTTTTCCCTTCCATCAATTCTTTCCCTTCCTCCTATCTTCTTCTCCTCCTTCCCTCTCACAACAGGGCCAATATCCCAACGTTTGCTGCAGGGTGTAAGGGCGAACTCGTCACCCCCACAGGCGCAGCCCTCCTTGCTGCCATCACCCACACCTGGACTCCCTGGCCTGACTGCCGCCCTTGCCGAGCCTCGTACGGAGCTGGCACCAAGGTTCGGCAGGACCGACCCAACCTGCTACGTCTGGTGCTGGCAGACCCAATGTGACACCATTTCTCATGGTTTGCATCAGAGCAGAATACCATCAAGGCATGATATTGGTACCGGTACAATTGTTTCCTCGAAGTGACAAATACTACAGTAACCAGCCAGTCCTTTGAAGGCAAGGGTTTGTTTTGTTAGCAACAACGTTGACAGCATACGGTAAAACAAAGGCATTAGGATACAGGTGGAACAGCAGGTCGGCGTTGGTGTCATGGCATACCACACTGCACCACAGATTCCACCAACATACCCGGGGACGCAACACGAGAAGAACCCTCCAAGTTTCCCCACAGCCCTCTGCGGCCCATTCCATCACACCCCCTCGACTTTCTCTCGAATTCTTTGAATCTTGGAAAAAAACGAGCCATTCACCGACCCCCATGCACAATTCCTTGGGGAGTGAAAAGAGCGATCGAGAAACAGTGTGTCTGCTTCAGTTCAGTGCCAGCCAGGGGAGTGGGACTAGCATCACTCGAGCGCCAGCTTCCGAGGGGAGCGAGAGTGCGAATCCAGGACGGATGGGGCCACGAGGGGGTCAAGGAGGGCGCGCCAGTCGTAGATGGTCCACTCGGCTGCAGCCATTGGCACCGCCACTCCGTTCACCAGGTAAGTTGGCGTTCCCACCACTGCCCTCGAGCACCCGTACTGCCAACGAGGGGGAAGAGATGGGGAAGAGGGAGGGAAGGGGAGAGGGAGTGAGCGGATGAGCCCTTGAGTGGGTCAAGGAGGGCACGCCAGTCGTAGATGGTCCACTCAGCCGCAGCTAGTGGCACCGCCACTCCGTTCACCAGATAGGTTGGCGTTCCCACCACTGCTCGTGAACATCCGTGCTGCCCACATAAGGAAGAGGAGGGTGGGGGAGTTTTTCAAGTCGACTGGAAGAAGAAGGTTGGTAGGTTGGTGTTCCCACCAATGCTCGTCAACACCTGCAGCGGTGGAGGGGGGAGGGTGTTGCGAATCAGATCACCAAATGAGTCGCCTTGAAGTCGGCTTGCGAGCGGGAGTGTGCAACATTTCCACACCCACACTATCGGGGTATGGCGTCTGCTGCAGGGTGTTTTTGAGACTTCTCAAAAACACCCTGAAGTCTGTTCGCAAGCGGGAGTGTGCTACATTTCCACACCCACACTATTGGGGTATGGCGTCTGCTACATCCACACCCATACCATCTCGATAGTATTTCCATTTAGTGAAGCCCCTTTGAGAAATTTCAAAAGTACATTCACACCCATACTATCCTGATAATCTCCCCATATAGTGAAGCGAATGAATGCAAGGCTATTGGGTGACAATGAAAAGGACTCAAGGCTTCAACTCGTGCCAGGGGGAGTCCACTCCGCCCATTTTTCCATTACCAACCGCGCCCCCCCTCTCCTCTTCATCCTCCTTCCCCCATTCTCCCTACGACACACTCACTCGGCCACCCTCACTCACTCAACCAATCTCTCACTCACTCACCCACTCACTTACTCAACCGAACTCCCAACCACAAACCTTGAACGCGAGTCGAGTGCGCCATTCAACCTCCGCATCCAAAAACGACCCCTTGAATCTCTCCTCGTCAATCCCGAGGCGCTCCGACGCGAGCCGCGCCAGCTGCGCCGCGACCTGCTCGGGCGTCTTCTGCCACGTGGCGCTCAGCGACAGGTCGTCCTGCTCGTCGAAGACGGCGTCGATCCAATCGAACGCGAGCGAGCCGTTGATGGCTGCGACGGCGTTGGTGGCCTGCGAGGCGAAGTAGGAGTTGTGGTGGAAACTGGGAGAGGGGCAGAGGAAGTGGGGGAGAGGGGCGGTGGGGAAGAGAGTGAACGGGGGCTGAAGGGAACGAGCTCGAGCGAGCCGTTGATTGCGGCGACGGTGGTGGCCTGCCAGGCGAAGTACGAGTTGTGGTGGAAACTGCGCGGGAGGAGAGGGGAGAGCGTGAGGGGGTGCGGGATAAAGAGGGGGTGTGGAAGAGGAATGGTGGCGGAAGCGTGGGGAAGATTTTTAAGTCGACTTAAAAATCGACTCATCACACGCGGGTGCGGGAGAAAGAGGGGGTGTGGAACGAGCGCACTCGGAGGAATGGTGGCGGAAGCTTGGGGAAGGGGAAGTAAGGGGGCGATGGCTTGTGTCGCTTTTGAGGATTCTCAAAGAGGGGCAACCGCAGCTTACGCGTTGGAGAAAAGATGAACGACGAATCGGAGCTGCTTCGTCCCGTAGAACTTCGCCACGTGGCGCAACACGGGCCACGCGCTCTGGCAGGACGGACACGTCAGATCCAGGAACGCCTCCAGAAGCACCGGCTGCCGCTCGCTGACGTCAGCACCGTAGATCAAGCCGTCGTACTGCGAGGGGATGGGGAACTGCGCTGACGTCAGCAGACACGGCGCGGCGACGACGAGAAAGAGGCAGCAGAGAGCGACGCGACGGGCGCAGATCGAGAAGCCCATGGCAGCGATTGCCGGGGCGGCGGCGGCGGTGGCGCGCAGACGTAGAGTGAGAGTGACGAGAGAGGTCCTGCGCGCGTGCGAACAAGGCGAAGGAGGATCTCCCCAATAGACCGGCTCTCGAGAATCTGCAACTCCGAATTCCTTTCTTCTCGGATAGAACGTGAAAACGTGGGGCCTAGCTCAACCCTTCTGAAATTGGATTTCCCCCCTTCTGCAAGCAGTGTCTCCACGATCTTCGCGCAGGCGAATTTTTGTGTGTGTACAACAGCCTGCGTAGGCGATATTCAAAGTGGTAACAAGCGAAACTCTTGTACAGCAGCCTGCGAGGGTGGTCCAGATTCAGCGAAAGCTGGCGGTGAATGGGGCGTCGGGGGAAAGTGAAAGCGCTGAATGGCGCAACAAATCGGCGCAGAACATCTTCAGTGCACACAGAGTCGGGGGCTCGTGAGGAGCATCCGCGTTATTCGGATAAGACTGAAGTTCCGAGCCGTAACCCACAAAAATTAGGGAGGTTGAAGGCAAAATAGAAAATCGTAACATCTCATAAATACTTCCACATTGCTTGCACAGTTCCAGTCTTTTCGTCAGGGTTGAGTCCTTGGTAGGGATGTTGCACCTGGCACAGCTCCCCCCATTCTAGAACTGAACGCTCCCGATATTCCTTCAAAAAGCGATCTGACTGCTATCGGTTGGCGATTAGCGGGAGCGGTGCGTGGCCGATGATTCCCGTACTGCTGCTCCTGCTGCTGCACCGATTGGTGCGAGTCTCCCTGTGCGATTAAATAATTCGACGATGAAGGGTGGTGGTTACCAATGTATTGCCGCGTGTTACCCTTGCTCCCAATCGCAAGTGCCGCCGCTGTCATTCTCTCCAGCTCAGCGTCTGACGTGGCAACACTGCTGCTAGTCACGCTGGTCTGGCAGCTTCTCATGCTGACGTCAGCGAAGACAGAAGGTGACGTGTCAAGAGATCCGGGAGAGACAGCTGGCATGTCATCCACCATCGATTGGACCTCCTCCAAGGAGGAAGCTTCCATGAAGGTTTCCACCATTCTGCGGCATGGAGAGAAGTTGGGAAATGAGCATGAGAGGGAAGGAGCAGGCCAATTATGGAGAGGAGAGCAGGCAGGGTGGCGAGACCACGCAGGTTGGGGAGCGCAGGAAGAGTGCTGCAGTGGAGGAGGAAGGTGCTTGGTGCAGTGCAAGAGGGAAAGTGATCGCACCCATTTCCTATTTGGATTTGTAACCTGGCTCCGCGCATGCAACAAGGTGATTCTTGAGTCGACTCAAAAGCCTCCTGATTGGGGATTTGCCTCCGCACAGCGCACGCAACAACTAATGAGGCGCCTCAAAAACGTTATCCTTGCAAATCTGCACCAGCTCGTCACAGCGAACGGTTTCTTTAACGCGCCTCACAAGTCATCTCATCTCACTCATTTGGGACATCTGCATGCCCAGGTTCTGCTGACTAATGAGTCGACTCAAAACTCAAAAGTCACCTTTTGAGTCGCCTCACAAGTCATCTCATGTCATTCATTTGGGACATCTGCATGCCCGGGTTCTGCTGACTAACTCACTGACCTCTCTGCTGCCACCGCCCTCTCCTCCATGCCTGCCAGCTTCTGCCTCGCACATTGGAGTCCACCTCTCCGCTTGCAACAGCACTGCATGCCCAGTGGTGATTGAGTTCCCTCATAGTTTGCATCATCTCACCCATTTGAAAGTCTACATCATCCCTACGTGCCCCACTGACTGACCTCTCTGCCGCCACAGCCCTCTCTTCCATGGCTGCCAGCTTCTGCCTCGCGTCCCGACTACTCTCCTGTGCGAGACAAAGGAAGGGAGGAGACCACTAATGAGGTGCCTTGACAGATTCGAGAGAGATGAGATGACACCACCTCCGATTTGCCTGAGCAATGCTGCAAGCGCCCTCTCCTCCATGGCTGCCAGCCAGCTTCTGCCCCGCGTCCCGACTGCTGTCCTGCATGCCACTGGCGGGGAAGGGGAAAACACCAATGAGGTGCCTTGAGAGATTTGAGAGAGATGAGATCACCTCTGAGTTGCCTGCCAGCCAGTGCTGCCAGTGCCCCCTGCTCAACGGCTGCCAGCCTCTGCCTGAAGAAGTGTTTTGGGACGTCTCAAAACACTTCTTCATACCCCTGCCCAACGGCTGCCAACCTCTGCCTTGCGTCGCGACTGCTCTCCTGTGTGCCATGGACAGGGAGGGAGGGGTAGACGATTGATGAGGCACCTAAACGAGTTCGCAAGACAACACCCGGAATTTGAAGTGCAAGAAAATGCTGCCAGCGCCCTCTGCCCTGCCAGCGCCCTCTGCCCTGCCAGTGCCCTCTGCGGCATGGCTGTTACCTTGCACCTCGCGGCTCGACTGCTCCCCTGCCACTGTATCACACGCAGCACCATAACGTACCGCTCTGCACCACACATCATGGCTCACCCCATGACCATTCACGAGTATTACAGCATCCGAAAAAATCATCGCCACACCGGACCGAACCACACGACAGAGCACAGCACCGCTCCGGACAGCACCGCACTCCACCACTCCACACTCCCACAACGTACCGCGAGCATCTCAATGACGTTCTTCTGAGTCTCCACCTGCTGCGCGTTGGCCGCTATAATGTCCTCCATATCCTTGGCTGCCCGCTCCAGCCTCTGCTCCATCCACGTGGTGAGAGGGGGAAGGGGGGGGGAATTGAGTGATATAGAGGGGCTTGGTGTGAGTTGGTTGCGATTATGTTCTCCATGTCCTTTACTGCTTGCTCCAGCCTCTGGTTGAAAAGTGTGAGGGCGAAAGGAACATCGTTAAGGCGCCCCAGAAGTAGTGGGGGAGGGGAAGAGGAGGGAGATACGAGACGGAGGGAATGGCGCCTCAGAAACAACCACTCACCCTAGCAAGCCGCCCTATTTCCGCATCCCTCTCCTCCACCTTGTCCTGCAACTCCTCAATCTCGCCCCGCATGCGCTCCTCCTTGCCTGCAATACCATCTCAACCTCCTTGCTCATAGACTTACAACCCACCGCCCACCCACGCACCCTAGCAAGCCGCCCAATCTCCGCATCCCTCTCCTCCACCTTGTCCTGCAACTCCTCAATCTCCCCTCTCATGCGCTCCTCCTTGCCTGCAATACCAGCTCATAGCCTTACGACCCATCACCCACCCACTCACCCTGGCAAGCCGCCCAATCTCCGCGTCTCTCTCCTCCACCTTGTCCTGCAACTCCTCAATCTCCCCTCTCATGCGCTCCTCCTTGCCCCTCAGCGCGCCCAGCAGCGCCCCCACCTCCCTCTCCATCTCCGCATCCTTCCCCCTCACTGCCTCCACCAGTGCTCGCGCTGCTTCCTCTTGTTGTTCCAGAAGCAAACGTGTAGACGCCTCCTGTTGGGCCTCCATTGCCCTTTGCTGCTGCGCGATCTCCCTCCTGTGCGCCTCTATCTGTTTCCGAGCCACAATCAGTGCATTCTCCAGCTCGTCAATCTGAGGGGGGTGGGGGAGCGAAGGAGGGGAGAAGGAAAATAGAGGCAATGCGTATATGAAGGTGCCCCCAGTAGCGCTCTCACCTCACTCTCCATCTCCGCGTCCTTGCTCCTCACCGCCTCCCCCAGTGCCCGTGCCGCCTCCTCCTGCTGCTCCAGCAGCAAGCGCGTGGACGTCTCCTGCTGTGCCTCCATTGCCCGCAGCTGCTGCGCGATCTCCCTCCTGTGCGCCTCTATCTGCTTACGGGCGACAATCAGTGCATTCTCCAGCTCATCAATCTGAAGGGAAGAGGAAGGGGAGTGAGGGAAGAGAGGCAGCATATATCAGCGCGCCCAGCAGCGCCCCCACCTCCCTCTCCATCTCCGCATCCTTGCTCCTCACCACCTCCCCAAGTGCCCGTGCTGCTTCCTCTTGTTGTTCCAGCAGCAAGCGAGTGGACGCCTCCTGCTGTGCCTCCATGGCCCGCTGCTGCTGCGAGTTGACTTTTGAGTCGACTCAAAAGTCCATGGCCCGCTGCTGTGCCTCCATGGCCCGCTGCTGCTGCGCTTTGAGTCGACTCAAAACACACCGCTGCTGCTGCGCGATCTCCCTCCTGTCCTGTGTGTGCCAATTTGCCTTCTGGCCACAATCAGTGCATTCTCCAGCTCATCAATCTGATGGCGGAGAAGAGGGCGTGCGGGAAAAGGGGGTGGAGGGAGGGTCGGGGAAAGGGGGCGTGAGGGAAGTGGGGTTGGGGAAAGAGGGGTTGGGGAACGAGGGGATGGGGGAAGCGAGGGTGGGGGAAGAGGGACAAAATCAATAGAAGCCCCACCGTCCCTGCGCCATCTCCCTCCTCTGCATCCCTACATGGGCATGGGGAGGAGAACAAGGGCTATAAAGATCAGAAAGAGCACGTGCAGCACATGTTTCCGTTTGAGGGCTACTTCGTGGTGCTATGGGTCTCATTTGGGCGTAAATGCTACTTTAACAACGATGACTTGTAAAGGGGGGGTTGGGTTGGGGGCTACCTTAGCAGCGAGAGCCTGGTTGGTGGTGGACTGCCCCATCTCCACCATGGCTGCCTGCAGTGCCTCCGCCCTGCATGACTTTTCGACGTCTCAAAAGTTGTCTACGTACACGCGGGCTTTGAGTCGTCTCAAAGCTTACCTTAGCAGCGAGGGCCTGGTTGGTGGTGGACTGCCCCATCTCCACCATGGCTGCCTGTAGTGCCTCGGCTCTGCATACATGGCATGGCATGGCATGGGATGGCATGGCATGGATGTGGCGATGGGGTGTGCACATGGCAGAATGGGGTATGCGTCAGAATGAACAACGTCTCATGGTTCAGAAGAACAGTGTATGGGATGTCGGGGGGTGCGCATGGGATGACGGGGGGTGCGCATGGGATGACGGGGGGTGCGCATGGGATGACCTGGCCACTTGAGACATGTGCACGTGGAGCATGAGACATGTGCACGTGGAGCATGAGACATGTGCACGTGGAGCATGAGACATGTACACGTGGAGCATGAGACATGTACACGTGGAGCATGAGACATGTGCACGTGGAGCATGAGACATGTGCACGTGGAGCATGAGACATGTACACGTGGAGCATGAGACATGTGCACGTGGAGCATGAGACATGTGCACGTGGAGCATGAGACATGTGCACGTGGAGCATGAGACATGTACACGTGGAGCATGAGACATGTGCACGTGGAGCATGAGACATGTGCACGTGGAGCATGAGACATGTACACGTGGAGCATGAGACATGTGCACGTGGAGCATGAGACATGCTAGGTGAAAAGAGGACACACGGAGGCTTTGGGTATGAAAGTGCCTCGCCTCCAAACGGCCTCACCTGAGAATGGCTTCATCTCTCGCCTCCAATGCAAACACCAGCTGCTCCTTCAGCCACGCCACCTGGTGAGTGGGAGGGTGGGTGGGTGGGTTGACGGGGGTGGGGGTGCAGCAGTCACGAGCAGGGACGAGTTGAAGAGTGTTGCAGCACCACTGAGGAGCACCAATGAGGAGCACCTGAGGATGGCTTCATCTCTTGCCTCCAGTGCAAACACCAGCTGCTCCTTCAGCCACGCCACCTTGAAGGTGGGAGGGTGGGGAAGAGTCACAAGCAGGAACGATTCAAGGACAGGTGCAGTGCAGCACAACTGTGCTACAACGGAAGTGAAATGGGAGTGTTTTTTCTTCAGCTTTCTCACAACCACTCACCTGTGCTTGCAACTCCGTCGCCACTTCAACCCGCACATGCCGCCCTCCTCTGCTCTCCGCACCCCCCTTCCCCCCTTCCACCCCTCCCAACCCCTCCCCATCCCTCCGTTCCTCCTGCTCCTCTCCACCCCCTCCTCCTCTCCCACCACCACCAGCACCCCTCTCTGCCACTCTCCACACATCCGCACTGCTCGTCCTGCCTATCCTCCCATGCACCCTTGCGTCTCCACCACCGCTGCCACCACCACCAACACCAGCATTGCCACCAGCACCCGCGCCAGCACCAGAGCCACTGTGAGAAGCAGCAACACTCCTGGACTCCCGAATTGGAGCAGCATGGCCTGCCCTGTCCGTATGGTGGTGCGGAGGGGGGTATCCCTCCCCCCCACCACCCACACCCATGCCCACCCCAATTCCCAGCCCAGGGCTACGTCTTTCGTTTAAACTGTGTGGCCGAATGCCCCTGCCTCTCCCTCCCGCTGCTCTCCACTCCCTGACATCCCCCTTACTGCTCGCCCCTTTACCGCTATTATCCGCGCCCCTCCCTGCACTGGGCTGATGCCCAGAAAGTGAATGTGACTGTCGGAAATGTGACTGTAACGAGTCTGACGCCAAACCGCCAGCACCGCGACCTCCCTTCAAATCACCACCCATTTCCTCCTTCGCTCTCCCCTTCTCCGTCCTGCTCCCCTCCCCCTCTCGCCTCTTCTCCCGCACCTTCTCCCTCTTGCCCTCCCGCTCCTTCTCTCCCTTGTCCTTCCCACCAAACCTCTCATCCCTCCTCCCTTTCTCCTTCCCAGTACCCTCACCGTCCTGAAACAACCCATCCCCCTCCAAAGCAACTGAGGGAGAACCGGGGGACGGGGGGGAGAAGTCGGATGAGGGGGGGGAGGAGGGGGAGGAGGGGGGCGAGAAGGTGGGGGAGAGATCTGACTCTATCTGGGACGACCCCTTACTCTTACTCTTGCCCTTGCTCTTGCTGCATGTGGTGGCAGAGCTGCTTGCACTCACAGCACTGACAGCAGCAGCGACACTAGCAGCAGTGGTGGTGGGAGCTTCAGCAGAATCTGCAGGGGCGGTGGCGGCAGCATTCGAGCTCTCATCTCTCGCATCCAGCGCAAGGGATGGAACCGGGTTCATGCGGCTGCTGCTGCTGCTGCCAGGGGCAAAGGACCCGCTTCGCAGCAGCAGCTCAGGAGACCGCTTCATCCGCTGCTGGTAACTGCTGGCAGCCGTTTCAGAGGTACCAGCAGTAGCAGAAGCAGCAGCAGCAGCTGCAGCAGCAGCTGCAGCAGCAGCAGTGGAAGACACAGACGCGTTTCTTCCATCCGTCTCTCTCCCTTCTGACACCGACGCCAGTGCTGCTGCAGCAACAGCCACTGCCGTCCCACCTCCCACAGACTCACCCACCCCTCTCCCTGCTCCTCCTCCGGCTCGCCTCACTGCAGCTTTTGACGCTGATGCTGAAACCGACCCATGAGCATGACCATGTAGGCGAGGCGGACCAGTGAGCTCCTGCCACCTGGCACTACCCCACGGGTCCATTTCAGTGTCTCTCTCACCATCTGCTGCTGTCCCTTCACTCTCCCTTCCCCTGTCCCTCCCCCTCTCTCTCCCCACCTCCGTCTCTCCTACTCCCAGCATTGAATCAAGAGCCTCGACCACCGAGGCTGGGAGGACCAGCTGAGTCCAGGTCTCTGCCGAACCGGATGCTGCCGGTTCGGCGCCAGGTTCGGTACCAGCTGCAGTTGTTTCGTTAGGGTAGGCAGGGGCGTGTGAGGGGAACTGCAGCGGTTGCACAGGGCAGATGAGGAAAGAGGGAGCAGCAGGTGGGGAGAGGCGAGAGAGGGAGGAGGAGCGAGTGAGAGGGAGGGGAGGAGGGAGGGGATGCAGGAGAGTGTGTGGGGGGAAGGAGACGGGTGGGGGACGGTTATTGGACAGCTTGAAGCTTGCAAGGGGGGAGTCTGGAGGAGTGAAGGATGGGGAGGAGAAGGCAGAGGAGGATGGGGACACGTCTCCTCTTGTCCCCCAATCCCCCCCACTAGTGTCACCATCTCCGTTCTCGTTAGTAGCACTCTCAGTACCAGCACTGCTTACCCTCCCCCCTGCGCCTCCCCCTGCCCTTCTCCCTTCCTCCTTGCCTCCTGCTCTTCCCTCCTTCCTCCCCTTCTTCTCCCTCTTCTCCTTTCTCCTCTCCCCTTCATCCCCAAAGGCCCGCAATCGCCCCATTCTAGCAGCAGGCGAGGGGGAGGGCAGCACTGAGTCGTCAAACGATGAAGGGATAGACAGCGGGGAGGCGTGGGAGGAGGACGGGCCGAGAGGGGAGCCGAGCGCGGTGCTGTGCGGTGCGAGCCTCTGCAGAACGGCCAGGGCCTCCGCGTGGATCTTGGCGGTGCGTGTGTTGCGGCAGCGCTTGAGCACCTCCCTCCTCTCGTCTACTCGGTGCATTATTGTGGGACGATGCTTGGTGCGGAGGTCCTGAAGGGGGGCATGGTGGGGAAGAAATGTGGGATACATTTCTTAGTGGCGGTGCGGGTGCTGCGGCAGCGCTTGGGCCCCTGCCTTTGCTCGTCCACCCGATGCATTATCGTAGGGCGGTGCTTTGTGCGCAGGTCCTAAGTTGGGGGGAGGGGATGGAAGACTTATTAGGCAGCGCTTGACCACCTCCCTGTGCTTGTCTACTCGGCGCATTATCGTGGGGCGGTGCTTTGTGCGCAGGTCCGGAGGGGAAGGAAGAGGTGGTGCGCAGATTCTAAGGGAAGGAAGAGTGGGGGCAGGGGTGTGGGGAGAGGGGAAGGGATGGAAGGCCGTTTGACTCCAAGGCAGCACTTCAGCGTCTCCCTCAACTCGTCCACCCGATGGATTCTCGTTGGGCGGTGCTTCGTGCGCAGATATGGGGGAAGGAGGAAGAGGATGGGAGGGGAGAGGAGAGGAGAGGAGAGGATAGGAGAGGAGAGGAGAGGAGAGGAGTTGAGAGGAGAGGAGAGGAGAGGAGAGGAAAGGAGAGGAAAGGAGAGGAGTTGAGAGGAGAGGAGTTGAGAGGAGAGGAGTTGAGAGGAGAGGAGTTGTGAGGAGAGGAGTTGAGAGGAGAGGAGTTGAGAGGAGAGGAGAGGAGTTGAGAGGAGAGGAGAGGAGTTGAGAGGAGAGGAGAGGAGTTGAGAGGAGAGGAGAGGAGTTGAGAGGAGAGGAGAGGAGTTGAGAGGAGAGGAGAGGAGTTGAGAGGAGAGGAGAGGAGTTGAGAGGAGAGGAGAGGAGTTGAGAGGAGAGGAGAGGAGTTGAGAGGAGAGGAGAGGAGAGGAGAGGAGAGGAGAGGAGAGGAGAGGAGTTGAGAGGAGTTGAGAGGAGTTGAGAGGAGTTGAGAGGAGTTGAGAGGAGAGGGTGGAAGGCGAAGTGGTTAGAGGGTCACAGACATCATCCAATGAAAGCAGCGCTTTAGCACCTCCCGGCTCTCATCCTCTCGATGCATTGTGGTGGGGCGGTGCTTGGTGCGCAGGGCCCCGGAAGTGGCGAGTGGCAGGATTAGGGAGAGGAGAAGTACGCACCATTGCACCACCACCAACAACAGCAGCAGCAGCAGCACTAACGCGAGTCACCTCGAGCATGGCCTCGTTGACGTCCATGCAGTCCACTCCACTCCACCCACACATGCGGACAGCAGCAGCAAATGCACGCGCACAAGCAACAACAGCAGCACATGCACGCGCACAAGCAACAACAGCAGCACATGCACGCGCACAAGCAACAGCAGCACCACCAGCCCGTCTCACCTCGAGCATGGCCTCGTTGACGTCCATGCAGCCCACACATGGATACAGCACGAGCACAAGCACGAGCACAAGCAACCATAGGGGCAGGGGCAGGAGCAGGAGCAGGAGCAGGAGGAGCAGGAGGAGGAGCAGGAGGAGGAGCAGGAGGAGGAGCAGGAGGAGGAGCAGGAGGAGGAGCAGGAGGAGGAGCAGGAGGAGGAGCAGGAGGAGGAGCAGGAGCAGGAGCAGGAGCAGGAGCAGGAGCAGGAGGAGGAGCAGTACGCACCATTGCACCACCACCAACAACAGCAGCAGCAGCAGCACTAACGCGAGTCACCTCGAGCATGGCCTCGTTGACGTCCATGCAGTCCACTCCACTCCACCCACACATGCGGACAGCAGCAGCAAATGCACGCGCACAAGCAACAACAGCAGCACATGCACGCGCACAAGCAACAACAGCAGCACATGCACGCGCACAAGCAACAGCAGCACCACCAGCCCGTCTCACCTCGAGCATGGCCTCGTTGACGTCCATGCAGCCCACACATGGATACAGCACGAGCACAAGCACGAGCACAAGCAACCATAGGGGCAGGGGCAGGAGCAGGAGGAGGAGCAGGAGGAGGAGCAGGAGCAGGAGCAGGAGGAGGAGCAGGAGCAGGAGCAGGAGGAGGAGCAGGAGGAGGAGCAGGAGCAGGAGCAGGAGGAGGAGCAGGAGGAGGAGCAGGAGCAGGAGCAGGAGGAGGAGCAGGAGGAGGAGCAGGAGGAGGAGCAGGAGGAGGAGCAGGAGGAGGAGCAGGAGGAGGAGCAGGAGCAGGAGGAGGAGCAGGAGGAGGAGCAGGAGCAGGAGGAGGAGCAGGAGGAGGAGCAGGAGCAGGAGCAGGAGGAGGAGCAGGAGGAGGAGCAGGAGCAGGAGCAGGAGCAGGAGGAGGAGCAGGAGGAGGAGCAGGAGGAGGAGCAGGAGGAGGAGCAGGAGGAGGAGCAGGAGGAGGAGCAGGAGGAGGAGCAGGAGGAGGAGCAGGAGGAGGAGCAGGAGGAGGAGCAGGAGGAGGAGCAGGAGGAGGAGCAGGAGGAGGAGCAGGAGCAGGAGCAGGAGGAGCAGGAGCAGGAGCAGGAGCAGGAGCAGGAGCAGGAGCAGGAGCAGGAGCAGGAGCAGGAGCAGGAGCAGGAGCAGGAGCAGGAGCAGGAGCAGGAGCAGGAGCAGGAGCAGGAGCAGGAGGAGGAGGAGGAGCAGGAGGAGGAGCAGGAGGAGGAGCAGGAGGAGGAGCAGGAGCAGGAGCAGGAGGAGGAGCAGGAGCAGGAGCAGGAGCAGGAGCAGGAGCAGGAGCAGGAGCAGGAGCAGGAGCAGGAGCAGGAGCAGGAGCAGGAGCAGGAGCAGGAGGAGGAGCAGGAGCAGGAGCAGGAGCAGGAGGAGGAGCAGGAGCAGGAGCAGGAGGAGGAGCAGGAGGAGGAGCAGGAGCAGGAGCAGGAGGAGGAGCAGGAGGAGGAGCAGGAGCAGGAGCAGGAGGAGGAGCAGGAGGAGGAGCAGGAGCAGGAGCAGGAGGAGGAGCAGGAGCAGGAGCAGGAGCAGGAGCAGGAGCAGGAGCAGGAGCAGGAGCAGGAGGAGGAGCAGGAGAAGCAGCACAAGTACCAACAGCACGCTCGTCTCACCTCGAGCATGGCTTCACTGACATCCATGTAGCCCACACATGCGGAGAGCACGAGCTGCGTGCTGTCAAAGGTGGATGCTGCCATGGACTGTAGGGCTGACATCATGTCCCCCGTCTCCTGCATTGATAGCAGCAGAGTGGCTGGAGACAAGGTAGGAGGGACAGGTGGGCGGGGTAATGAATTAGACGCCTGGCCTGGCAATAGACCAGTTTGCTGGCAAAGAAGGCAGCACAGACATCATGTCTCCTGCCTCCTGCATTGACAGCAGCAGCGCGGCTGGGGGGGTTGTATGGCGGGGATGGGCAGGTCTGGGGATAGGCGCCTGGTAGCAATACAGCGGAAGGGTGAAAGGTATTTGCTGCCATGCCATGTGCTCCAACACTGACGTCATGTCCCCCGTCTCTTGCATTGACATGACAGCAGCAGAGTGGCTGGAGAGAGGGAAGGTATGAGTAGGCGGAAAGGCATCGCAGGGTTAGAGGTACGCGCGGAAAGGAGGGGAAGTTAACAAAAGAAACAGGAAGGGCAGGTAGAGGAGGACCGGGAAGGAAAGGAGTAAGGCACGCACCATCTACAGCACCACACAGCACCGCACAGCACAGCACAGCACAGCACAGCACCGCACAGCACAGCACAGCACAGCACAGCACAGCACCGCACAGCACAGCACAGCACAGCACAGCACAGCACAGCACCGCACAGCACAGCACAGCACAGCACAGCACAGCACAGCACAGCACAGCACAGCACCGCACAGCACATCACACCACGTACAGTGCATGTCGAGGAGGGCGAGGCATGTGCGGAAGAGCATGCTGCGATTGCGCTCGTAGAGAATGACGTCCCACACTCGCAGCACTGCGGTTGAATGGCAAGTGGAAGAGGTGTTGAACACAGAGAGAGAGGAAGCAAGAGCAAGCTGTCACAAAATCTTCCCACATGTGGGAAGGGAAAGACTAGATAGGCTTGAAGAGAGACAAAGAGAGTGCAGAGAGATAAGAGAGAAGAGTTGAACAATACAAGGTAAAAAGAATGAAGAGGGCCAGACAACAAAGCAGTGCTCTCACCGCTCTCCCTGCCAGTCCTTGCCAGACAACAAAGCAGTGCTCTCACCGCTCTCCCTGCCAGTCCTTGCCAGACAACAAAGCAGTGCTCTCACCGCTCTCCCTGCCAGTCCTTGCCAGACAACAAAGCAGTGCTCTCACCGCTCTCCCTGCCAGTCCTTGCCAGACAACAAAGCAGTGCTCTCACCGCTCTCACTGCCAGTCCTTGCCAGACAACAAAGCAGTGCTCTCACCGCTCTCCCAGGGCAACACGTTGACGAAAACAGAGAGGAACCATGGCCCCGTGATCCATGAGATCTGCACTCCCATTGTGTCCATGTGCTCCGCTGCATGGGGTGAGCGAGAAGCGTGTGAGGGATGAAAGTGCACGGAAAAGGCACAAGTGCATGTCGTCAGCAGACCACAGAAAAAAAAAAAAAAAAAAAAAAAAAAAAAAGTTGGGATGTGAACACTTGGAGTGCTTAAACTAGCCTGCCTGCCTGGCAGGTTGGCACCACTCACCGAGCCAAGTGTTGACAACTACCCTACCAACCTAACAGGTTGGCACCACGCCACTCACCGAGTCTGGGGAAGTTTTGGCGAACAAGGTCCTCGAACACGAGCTGGTCCACCTGGTGGGGGAACGAGGGAATGAGGAGGGACAGTGGACAGGGCGAGACAAAGCGACGACTCTTGAGGTGCCTCAAAATCAAGCACGAGCTCAAACGAGCCCCTGGTGGGAGGGGAGAGAATGCGGGCGGACAGGGCTGGGCGTGAACACGGAGAGACAGGGAATTTGGCATGGCAGGGACCAGGCAAAGAGGCACGGCATGGCACGGCATGGTGCCAAAAGAGAGTTGATTGGCTTTTGAGCCAACTCAAAAGGAGGGATGCCTGAAGTCAACAGCAACAGCGTCAAGCAGTAACCTAGTACAAATTTTGCTAGGTAACTTCCATGCTGTAACAAACCGAGGGTATTTAACTCCATGATGCTGCAGGGTTTTCTTGAGAACTCAAAAGGAGGGATGCCTGTAGTCAACAGCAACAGCGTCAAGCAGTGCCTTTTGACCAGCTCTGCCTCTGTTGCTCTGCCATCACTTTGACCCACACCGCCCCATGCACCTGTGCCTGCCTACCCACCATCCCATCCCACCTGTTCCCCATCTTTCACCTGTCTTCGTCACCTCTCACCTGTCTCCCATCCCACCTCTCTCTTCACTAACCGTCCCCCTTCCCACCTGAGCTTCAACCATCTCGTCGGAGTAGTACCCTCGGAACAGCTCGTCCACTATGGCCGTCAGCGTCCTGACACATGAGGGTGAGGGGGAGTGAGGGGTTGGACACGATGGGCATGGCAGGTGTGGGCGAGCGGTGGAAGAAACAGATCATGAGTCGACTCAAAACTCGTAGTACCCTCGGAACAGCTCGTCCACTATGGCCGTCACCGTCCTGACACATGAGGGTGAGGGGGAGTGAGGGGTTGGACACGATGGGCATGGCAGGTGTGGGCGAGCGGTGGAAGAAACAGATCATGAGTCGACTCAAAACTCGTAGTACCCTCGGAACAGCTCGTCCACTATGGCCGTCACCGTCCTGACACATGGTGTGGGAGGGGAGGTTGGTGTTGACACGATAAGCATGGCAGGTGTGGGTGGAGACGGGAGGTGGGGCATGGGGTAAGTTGAGCAGAGGGTAGAAAAGCTCATTCAAGTATTGAGTCAACTAGAAATTCTCAGGGCAAGTTGGGTTTCAACGCTGATTTACAGGGAGCGTGTTTCAACTATCAGGTCAACTATGGACCGCAAGTAAAGCTGAGAGAGTAGGTGGGGCCTATCAGGGAGCGTGTTTCAAACCCACTGCAAGTTTACCAAGATTGCCACTCTCCCCTAGTGGTGTGGTGCCACCCACCAAAAGGCGTTTTCCTCGGGCATGAGCAGCAGCAGCAGCCCCGCCAGGAAGTTCATCCCCTGGCAGTACCCCAGAGCGCGGTTTCCCCTCCACACCTCCTCACCTCACACACCTCTACACCCCACCCAGCCTCACCAGAAGGCATTCTCTTCAGGCATGAGCAGCAGCAGCAGCCCGGCGAGAAAGTTCATGCCCTGGCAGTACCCCAGCGCGCGGTTGCGCCGCGAGTACGCCACCAGCAGCCGCCTCAGCGCGTCCCTCCCCTTGGCGTCCAGCGCAGGGTGCCCGGGGAAGGTGCGCGGCAGGTCCTAAGGGGGTGCGGGTTGGGTCATGGGGGTTGGATGCATTGCAGAGGAGTAGGAGCAGCACGGGGCAGACTTGAGAGCACACAGAGAGTGACCTTCAGAGCAGAGGTGACCACGACGGCAGAGGCCTACACACCTTTTCAATCTGCACAGTGCATGCGACCTCAGCGTCCCTCTCATGGATCCTTGCTGTGATCTCCGCCAAACTGCTGTTAGGCCCGTGCTCCTCCTCCCTGCCAGTATCCCTCAGCAGCGCCTCATACACGCCCGCCTGCCTCCTCCCTGCACTCCCCACGAAGATCTGCCACACCTCGCCCCGCATGTTCATGGGAATGCCCCCCATCACTAGGGACGTCAGCTCCGCTCTCCATGCCTCCTCTGTCGCCACACTCCCACCCACTCCCTTGCCTGCTCCGCTCTCCCCTCCCTTGCCTTCTCCCCCTCCTCCTCCTCCTCCCTCTCCCCCTCCTCCTCCTCGCTCCTCTCCTCCCGTCTCTCCACTGCCTGCTCCGCTCCCCTCCCCGCTGCCCTCTCCTATTCGCTTTCCTCCTCTCTCTCCTCCAGAATCCCTTTCACTCCTCCCCCCGTCCCCCGAACTCCCTGCGTTCCCCGCGCGTGCATCAGCAGCACCCCTCAGAACGCGCTCAACGGCCCACAGCTCCTCCCTAAACACTGCGCGAAACCTCCCCTCTCCGCCCCCCTCTTCCGCGCCTTCGCCAGAAGGCGCTTCTGCTGCAAGCGCAGGCGTCGGCGCAGGGGAGGGCGGAAGGAAGGGCAGGTCGCGCGCGCCCAGGAACGAGTCCCACCGCTCCGACCGCTCTGTCTCCTCGCCCTGGAACGGCAGAGAAGGGGTGGGGGAGAGAAGGAGGGGGGTGGGTTTGGGGGGGAAGTGAGGGTGGGTATAGGGTGTTGGGAAAGAGCGGGATGGTGGGGATGATGGGCACAAGCACAAGGACGGTGTGGAAGGGAAGGTCGCGCGCGCGGAGGAACGAGTACCACTGCTCCGACCACTCTGTCTCCTCGTCCTGGCGAGTGGTGAGTGGAATAAGGGGTGCGGGAAGTTGTGCTGTGGGTGTGGGAGTTTGGGAGGAGCGGGAGGGGAGGGACGACGGACAGAAGCACAGGGATGACGGGATGCATGCCTACGCCGCATGGGGACACAGCTCTGTAGACGAGGACAGACGAACAGCGCAGGGGCAACTCACATGGTAGACGGGAACGTAGGCCTTGTAGACGTCCACGTACTGTGGCTGCACCGCGAACCCGTACATGTCCCTGATGCATGGCAGAGCAACAGCATCGCACCATACCATCATATCGTCATACCATCGTCCCATCATACCATTGTGCCATCAGACCATCATACCATCGTGCCATCACACCATGAGCAGCAGCATGAAGAAGCACACACATCCGTGACAAACCCGCGGTGTGGCGCGTGTGTAGGCGAAAAGCATGCTCGAATGCTCGAACGCACACACGCGCTCACACGGGCCTTTGCACATGCCGATCACAATGACTCAGCTTCTAAGCTTGCCGACTTATGCACGGCAAATGAGTTCAGGCGACCAGAATGCAACATAAGACGTCCCATCTGGTGGCTTCTGAGTCGACTCAAAAATCTGTCATTTCTGTGGTTGCAGTACGCGCTGACTAATACAACACAAAACTTCAGGTCATGCACTTAGAGCACACAGGAAAAGCTGGACAATGGAATTTCTAGTATCGGCTGGTACCTTTCTGGCTTCCGAAAAGAAAAGAAAAGAAAAACAAACAGAACGCGAATGGTCAAGGCTGGTATCTAACTGGCTTTCGAAAAGTTCGGGGAAGCAGAACGCGAATTGTCGAAAGCGGTACGAGCGATCAAACGTCAGGACAAATTCCGGGATCACGACGCGCGTTCACAGTAAGAGAGGCGGGGAAGTTCACAGAGTCTTGAAACTATGACTGGAGGTAGAACTTAGAGGCATCTCAAGAGTAAGGGTAGCAAAGAGGCGTACAGCATGCGTTCCGGGCGAGCAGACGGGGTTGGCGACGGCTCGTCCTGCTTCTGCCTGGCCCATGTCGCGTTGCGAATCATTTTCAGACTGAGGACTGACGAAGGAGCGACCATGACTGCTGCTGCTGATGTATGGGGTATGTTGTTGATGTAAAGAGGCAGCGAACATGCCAGAACTACAGAGAAGGCTAATAAATAGCTTGTCTAACTAGAAAGACCAGAGAGGTGAGTAAACTAGCATGGGATTCCACCATTTCGACGAGGCAAACAGCATCGTGCTTCAGACTGGGAAAACGCCACGGCCAAAATTGGCAGAAGCTGATACAATGGTTCTTATCTTCCAGTTTGGGTCTTCCAAACCATCAAACGCTCTGATATCATCGATAATAAAGAGTGGCGAGGCTCCTGATGGAATGATGACATACGTTCCTGCAAGATCATCTGGTCTAGGACTCGTAAAAATGAAGACTGGAACTAGACTTCATGGTCTGTGCTCGGATTTCTTTAGGTTGGTCAACTGGGGGAGAGAACTTGGAGGTGTGGGTGTGTACAGGTTCGACAGGCTCATCATGTCACCGGAACCCGAACCTCCGCAGGCTTGGTACACCAGGGAGCATAATTGTGCCTGACCTGCCCAGGCACAGGGGGGTTCGGTACGGTATACTTTCCGTAGCTGTCCGGTGGTGTCTTTTGGTTGGGAAGACGAACGGCGAGTGGCGGGAGTGAGGTTTGGAAATGGGATAACCCCCAGGAAGCTTGCCAGCAGTGGCCGTTTGTTGTCAGAGCGGCCCGGCGAATCCAGCTTGGTTTCATTGCTCCAAGTCAGGCTGCCAGGCGTTCGCAACCGCCTGAATGTTACGCTACACTTCGCAAGAAATAGACACGCATAGATTAAACTGGTCAAATAGCTACACAGGAAATTCTACGAATTCAACAAGACTCCCTTCGATATAGTCAGCATTTCGATAGTGGGGCCGATTTTGCTTTCTCGAAGCTCTCCCCAATTGCCAATTGCCATTTCTATTCCCCACCGAAACCTCTTCAGTACTTCGGCCTCTCGCCTCGCCAAAGCCTTAGGTGTTACCCGAGTTTCTGGTCTTTAGTTCCCGCCACCATTTGAACCTAGTTTCCCCGGGTCACGGCCAGGGATTAGCCATGGTGAGTAGCCTCTTCGTCCTCTTATCGTTCTTACGTTTTACAGTCCTGTACAGTTCGAAATGCCTCGATCTTCACATGTTTTGCTCGTGTTCTCAAAACATAGGCCTAAGGACAAAGCAACAATCATTGGTGGGTTTTTTCTCTGCGGCCTTACCGTCTTCGTCCTGTTCTTTTCGCAGGGCTCTGAGGCTGTGAATCCGAAGGCTTACCCTTTGGCTGATGCGCAGCTGACCATCACCATCCTCGATATTGTACAGCAGGCTTCTAACTACAAGCAGCTTCGCAAGGGAGCGAATGAAGGTGAGTTCGGTGACATGACCCCCCTTCGTCTCCTCCTCAGGTGCAGAGCTGCACCCGTCTATGCTGGTCGTAGGACATGCGTCTCCAAGGGTTTAAAGCCTTCAAGGCTTTACGTTTCTAGCATCTGTGCGCTTAGAGTGATCAGCGCCGGGTTGTCATCTGTCCGTTCCTCTACCCCCCTCTCCTCCCACCTCCCCCCTCTCTCCCCCTCCTTCGCCCTCCCCGCTCCCGTTCCCCCACCTTCCCCTCCCACCGTCTTCACGTGTCCCCGGGTTTTACGTATCTCGCTCTTCCCGTCTTTCCCCGCGCGCGCAGCGACCAAGACGCTGAACCGCGGCATTTCGGAGTTCGTCGTCATGGCGGCCGACGCGGAGCCCCTCGAGATTCTGCTGCACCTGCCGCTGCTCGCCGAGGACAAGGTGCGTCTCTTGCGTTTGTCGCGCTTCTCGCGCTTCTCGCGCCTGTCTCGTCTTCATGTCTGATTTGTTTTTTGGTGCTGCTTCTTGCTACCTCCCTCTCCCATCCTCCCCCCTCCCCCTCCACCCCCTTCCCCCCCTCCTCTCCACCCTTACCCGACGCCTCTACCCCACGCCCCGCGCCCTCCCGCTTCCTCTGCGATGCAGAACGTGCCGTACGTGTTCGTGCCGTCGCGGGAGGCTCTGGGGCGCGCGTGCGGCGTGTCGCGGCCCGTGATCGCGTGCTCCGTGACGTCCAACGAGGGCAGCCAGCTCAAATCGCAGATCCAAAACCTCAAGGTACGGTAATCAATACTGCATCATTCGGTATTCCCAGGGTGATTTTTGAGTCGACTCAAAAACCACCTCTGCGCGCGCGTGCGGTGTGTCGCGGCCTGCGATCGCATGCTCCGTGACGTCCAACGAGGGCAGCCAGCTCAAATCGCAGATCCAAAACCTCGAGGTCAGCAAAGCTTCCTCATTTCGTCCATTTGCCAATCTTCTGATCGACCGATTTCCTGTGCGCGCACACACATGTGTTAGGTGTATATTTCCTGACCAGCTGAAGAGGGTTTAGTTAATATCCGATGTTTTTGTTTTGTTTTCTTGTTTGTTTATCCTGCAGGACGCCATTGAGAAGCTTCTCATTTGAGAAGCTGCAAATAGGGTACAGCCTGGACCTCTGCATTGCTTGCGTGAATATTCTTCTCAGATGAATGAAATTGAGGTCCTTAACTTCTATTGGAAAGTTGTAAAATGAAATTTAGGCTTGTAAGGAGACAACACCCAAGCCAACCCAGGGTTGCCAGAACTGAATTCAACCCAATTCAACCTACTCAATCAGCTGGTGCTGCTAGGGTAGGGACCTCTATTGCTATTTTAACCTAAATCCCCAAGGACCTAGCCGTGCTGATGAGATGATCCATCTACAGAAGGACTACAGAGGGATGTAGCTGCACCCGTGGTTCTGCTGCTTGATCCTGGCCTAGAAGTCGCTGTTTGCAAGCACCACACCACCACACCGTCGTTAAGGATAGAAACTGAACCGACTTCGGTATATCAAACCTAATCCACTCAGCTGCTAGTGCTGGGGACCTCTAGTGATTTCTTAACCTGAATCCCCATGGACCTAGCTGTGCCAATGATCAAACGGCAGATGGATTCGATGGGAAAGTAGCTGCACCCGGGGTCCTGCAGCTTGATCCTGATTCCTGACTTAGAACACCCTGTTGTTTGAAACACCACAGACGCGCACCGTTTCTGAGAAAAAGCAAACCCGTGCCAACCATATCCAAACTGATCCAATTAGGTACTGCTGGGGACTTCAAGAGATTTCTTCACCTGGATGCCCATGGACCTAGCTGTTCCTATAATTGATCGACAGATGGATTCGAGAGGAATGTAGCTGCACCCGGGGTCCTGCTGCTTGATCTTGGCGATCTCATACACGTGCTTTAAGGACACCTCGCCGACCATTTTATGCCCCGCCTCCCCTCCGCCCAGAGACAGCCCCGCCGCCCGCTTCAGGAAGTAGGACGTGGGCGGCGACTTGATAATGAAATCAAACGAGCGATCCTGGTGACAGGAGGACCGCAGGGGGGAGGGGGCGAAGAAGAGGGCGGGAAGTGGAGTGGGTGTGGAGGGCCAAGAAGGAGAGGGGAGGGTATGAAGTCAGATGAGCGCCCTGATGAAGAAGATAAGGGAGGTGAAGAGGAGGGAAGTGGGTGTGTGGGTGGGGTGAGGGGGAGAGGGAGGGTAGGGGAGCATTATGAAGTCATATGAGCGAATCCTGATGAAGAAGATAAGGGAGGTGCTGACTCGCAGCAATCACGTGGTGATAAGGGCAGGCAGTGGACTGAACAGCACCAGTTTCACGCAGTGATAAGGAAAGGCAGGGGATGTTTCGGATGGAAGCAGCAGCACCAAGACTCACCGAGGAGTACTCCTCTGTGATGAGAGCGGGAATGGGGATGTCCAGTTCGGTGTCAACTAGCAGGAACACTCACCGAGGAGTACGCGGGGGATGAGCGCGGTGACACACTTACTGCACACAAATACGGTACTGAGCGGCGAAGAGATTATCATGCAGCATGACCACTCACCGAGGAGTACGCGGCGGATGAGCGCGGGAATGGGGATGTCCGGTTCGATGTGTTGCATATTGATGTTTGAACTCAACCTCATGGCGTTCGATGTGTTGTGTGCGCGAGTTGAAATCCTTGCAAGACGCCATGAGGTTTAGGGCAACCCGCATGCAGCACAGCACAGACAGACACTCACCGAGTATGCAGTAATCAGTGCAGGGATCAACTCGGTGAGTGCAGTGCACAGACATCTGGTTTCATGTGCTGCGTGTGCGCATTGAAGTCTTCACAACGCCACGCGGAGCCATCAGGTCCAGCCCGTGCTGTCCCAGCGCAATCCGAAAGCAGCGCAATCCTTGCAATAATCAGTGCAGGGATCGGGACGTCTGGTTTGATGTGCTGCGTGCGCGCATTGAAGTCTTCACAACGCCATGCGGAGCCATCAGGTCCAGCCCGTGCTGCCCCAGCGCCGGCCCGGCCCCACGCGGGGCCTGGAACCGCCACCGACCAGCTCAGAAACATTCAACCAGTCTAGAGTCAACGACACGACGCGCTGACTTGCGTTGACTTGCGTTGACACTCACCGAGTATGCGGTGATGAGAGCGGGAACGGGAACGTCCGGTTTGATGTGTTGCGTGCGCACGTTGAGGTCCTTGCAGAACGCCATGAGGTTCACAGCAGCCCGTGCTGGCCGCAGCAAGCAGCATGGAGACTCACCGAGTATGCAGTAATCAGCGCGGGAACGGGGACGTCTGGTTTGATGTGTTGCGTGCGCGCGTTGAAGTCTTTACAGAACGCCATGAGGTTCAGCCCGTGCTGCCCCAGTGCCGGCCCCACGGGCGGCGCGGGCTTCGCCTGGCCCGCGTTGATCACCAGCCGGATCACCGTCGTCACTGTTTTCTGACTCGCCATCGCGAAGATCGCGAACGGCGCTGGCGACGCTCGCGAACGGAGTCTGGTGACGGATGGTGTGATGATCGACTCGACTCAGAAAAGTCGCTTCTCAAAATTTTAGGTCCGCCTCAACGACGCCTCAAAAAGCAAGACGGCCTGTACCATCAGGTTACCACATGAGCCGTTTCGCTAACATCGGGTTACCACAGAAATGGCTCCGCTAATTCTCCTCTCAAACGATTTGAAGCCGTGTCAGCGAAAGTCACACGAACTGTTGACGCAGAGGCAGCCTTGCTCTTTCTCGCTTCTGTAATTCCAATGCGGAATGAGCGAGAACAGTTTCAGCGGTGAAACACGAGTGGGGAGAAGCGCTCCGAGCTGATCCAAGTTTACGAGACTCAGATACTCGAGTCTCGACTTTTCCCCTGAACAGACGGATGTGCTCTCCTGGCGCAGGGGAGGTGGAGGTGGTGGTAGTGGTGGTGGTGGTGGTGGTGGCGGCGGCAGAGGAGGTGGGGATGGAGGAGGAAATCCTCGTTACATACAGCTTCCTCTACATGCTAAATTGCTAATCTATCTTTTTTATTGTGCTAGGATTGTCACTTCGCATACATGAAGCAACTTCACTACCCTGCTCGGGAAACAAACAACTCACAAATAACAACCCTATAATGTGCTGCTAATTTAGAAACCTTCGCCTCTTTGCCATCTGTTGGCTACTGCTGCTACACATACCACAAATGCAATTTACAATTGACACGTTGCACAAAGCTGCACTCTACACCAAGCTTGCTCCATAACCTCCTCCTTCACAAGCTAGTAAATAAACAGAGACTAGTACACACGTAAAAGACAAATCACACATTCCCACGCCCTCTTTCGCATCCAAGCAAAGGCTCTTGGCGAGCACACGCCCCCTCCTTGTCTCCCTCTCCACCCTCCACAACAACCGCCTCTTGATGTAGCACCGGCTACTCCTCCGTATCCCCTGACTTTTGAGTCGGCTCAAAGGCAAGCGAGCACACACACCCTCCACATATCTTCCTCTCCACCCTCCACTATAGCCTCCTCTTGATGTAGCACCAGCTACTCCTCCGTATCCCCTGACTTTTGAGTCGGCTCAAAAGGCGAGCGAGCACACACACCCTCCACATATCTTCCTCTCCACCCTCCACAACAGCCTCCTCTTGATGTAGCACCGGCTACTCCGCATCCCCTCTACAAGCTGGAACCATACAAGCAATGCTGAAGCCATGACCTATGCTGCCTGCGGCTGCTGTTACTAATATACATACACACTAAATACACACTGCACTATTCACACACACACACTCACACTCCATGCCCTCTTTCACACCCAAGCCAAGCCTCTGGCCAGCACACACCCCCTCCTCAACTCCCCCTCCTCCCTCCAAGCCACCCTCCTCTTCCTATAAGCCAAAACACTTGCTCCTCACCCGCATCCTCTTGACAAGCTGTTACCATATACGCACCGCTCCATGCCCTACTTAGTGTGGCTGCTACTACTGCTGCTGCTGCTGCTGCTACTACTGCTGAAATACATACATACAGGCTACACACAACACTAATCAAACCCACGCCAGGCCCTCTTTCACTCCCAATCCAAGTCCCTTGGCCCTTGGTCGAAATTTCTCTCACGATTTCTCACACACACGCCATGCCCTCTTTCACTCCCAATCCAAGCCCCTTGGCCAGCACACACCCTCTCCTCCTCATCTCCTCCTCCTCCCTCCACAGCACCCTCCTCTTCCTGTAACACTTGCTCTTCCTCGCCGGCCCTCTCGGTATCCCCTCTACAAGATGCTCCCCTATCAGCAGCGCGCGCCCCATGGCCTGCGCCTGCTGCTGCTGCATGCATGCCTCGAAGGAGAGGAGGGCGCGGAGGAAGGAGTCGGAGAGGGGGAGAGTGAGGGCGGGGGCGAGGAGCGGGGAGAGGGGAGGAGGGAGGGATTCCCACTGGAGTGATATGCGGTTAAAGTCGAGGAGAATGTGGGAGAGAGAGGGGGAGGAGGGAGAGGTGGGCGCAGGAGATGGGGTGGTGGAGGAAATGGGGGAGGCTGTAGAATTTGCATTTCTCCCCTTGAATCCCCGAGCCACCACGTAACGTTCGGCGTTGCAGGCTCGGGAGGAGTGCAGGCGGACGAGATGGATGGAGCGGAAGGAGAGGGCGAGCAGGGCGAGGAGAGACGCTGTTGAGAGCAGCGATCCGCCCAGCAGCTTGAGCACGAACGTTCCTCCTGGCGCCTGGTGGGAGAGAGTTGGGGGGGGAACACAGGGGACAAGAAGGGGAACGAGGTGGAGGGAACAGAAGCAGCAAGAGAGGAAAGAGAGACGCTTCTAAAGGGTTGATGAACCAACAATGGCCAACCAGAGAAACAATGGCCATTGTTGGTTAACCAACCACATGGTCGTACCATCCAGCTCAATTTGGACAGACCAACCAATTACAATGAGTTGCCAGCAGTGAACAAGGCATGGCAATGAGTTACCTGCTCTCACCAGCAACTTGAGAGAGGCGTGCACTTGGCAGAAGACAAGGCGGCAGTGCATGGCCTCCACCATGACCCACCACCACACCACAAGAGGACAATTGAGCTAACATAAGGCTCACCAGCAGCTTGAGTGCAGCATGCACTTGGCAAAAGATAAGGCGGGCATGCATGGCCTCCTGTCGATCCCAATCCACTGAACTGTCCAACCCCCCGTCCGCTGTCACCACTGCCGCCCCTCCCTCCATTGCCCCCTCTCCCTCCATCGCTGACTTGCCAGCCTGGCAGTCTGCTGAACTGTTCAAACCTGCGTCCACGTGGCTGCCCCTGATGACGTCAGCAGCAAAGGCTGCCACGTTGGCATGACGTGTCAGGTCTCCTGTGCCGTCCATCCCATACAGCACATGGCCGTGGGACAGGAAGGAAGCTGCCTGGAAGCTGATGGGGGTTGACACGATCGATCGTGGAAGCAGCTGATCAGGGTGTGACTGTAACGAAGGTAACTGTAACGAGGCAGAGCTGTGCGGAGGACTGCAGAGGGCACAGCGCTCCTTCTCCTCTTTCTCTCCCTCCTCTCCCTCCTCTCTCTCCTCTTCCACCTCCTTTAAGCCATCACCACTGCATCCCCCGTCCTTCTCTGTACCACCATACTTGCCTAGGATACCCGCACCACCATTACTTATCTGCTCTCCCCGTGCTTCCACACACCGTCCTCCCTGCCCACCTCTCCGCCTTCCCAGCAGGCACAGCACAAAGTCAGGTGCATGCCCAGAGGCGGCAGAGGGGGCAGGGTGCAGGACAGTTTGGGGAAAAGAGTGGGGTGCAGGGTGGGCGGCAGGGTGGGCGGCAGGGTGGGCGGCAGGGTGGGCGGCAGGGTGGGCGGAAGGGTGGGCGGCAGGGTGGGGCGCAGGGTGAGGTGCGGGCAAGGCGGTGGTGGGAGCAACGGCAGCAGCAGGCAGCAAAGGGGGTTGCAGGTTGACAGGGCGCAGAGGAGATCGCTGCTGCTGCACCTCCCCTGTCACCTGCTGTTGCTTGGACCGCTTCTTCTCCCTCTTCCTCCTGCTCTTACACGCCTTTCCTCCCCCTCCCTGCTCTCCTCCCTGCCCCGCTCCCTGCTTTATTTCTTGCGTCCCTGCCTCCTCGCCCGAACAGTTGATTGCTCCAAGTGAGACAACACCTGCTGGGCCAACGCCTGCCGGGCCAACGCCTGCCGGGCCAACGCCTGCCGAGCCAACGCCTGCCGAGCCAACACCTGCCGAGCCAACACCTGCCCTCTGCGAACCGCACTGCTTCTCCTGCTGCTGGTGCTGTTGCTGCCACTGCTGGTGCTGCTGCTTTTGTCGCTGTACCCATTGCTGCTGCGGCTGTTGCTGATGCTGCTGTTGCTGCGGCTTCCAATGCAGCGGATGCTCCCTCCACTCAGCGCTGCCGCCCCTGCTGCTGCCACCGCTGCTGCTGTTGCTGCTGCTTTCCCAGCTGCCCCAGCTGCCGCTGCTTCTGCTGCTGCCAGGGCTGCTGCAGCCACTCCCTCCCCCACCCCTGCCGCTCCTGCCCCCACCTCTGCCCCCCCTGGCGGACGCTGGCACAGGAATTGCCCTTGATCTCCTTTCCCCTCTACCACTATTGATTCCTTCTCCGGATTCTCCTCCTCCCCTGTATTGTCCTCCCCCTCCTCCTCCCCACTCCCCTCTCCCTCCTCTCCCACCTCCTATTCCCCTTCCCCCACCCCCCCTTCCTTGAACCATCCCACCCAAAAAACTCCCCGTCGCCCTCCCCCTCCCCCTATGCCCTTCCACCACCGCTCTGCACCCCTCCTCACCGGCACTCACACCAGACCCAGTACCCAGCCCCACACAAATTTTCGAACCCGCAACCGAACCAATAGGCGGCGAACCAACAATCGAGCCAACAGCAGCCGAGCCTACAGCTGCCTTGCCTCGGAGAGTGATTCCGAACCACAGGTGCTGCAAACCACGACCCGCCACCTCCGCTCCCACATCAGCTCCCCCTACCCCTCCACCTCCCCCTTTCCCTCCCTTTCCGCCTTTCGCCACTACCCCCCCTCTCCCCCCGGCCTGTTCCGCCAGTAGCAGCTGCACCGCTTGAATGAACCCCCCGGGCCCCTCACACAGGTGCGCGGAGACAAGCGGGAGGGGCCGGGGAGGGGAAACGGGGGAAGCGGAAACCTTTCGGGGCAGATCCGGGGAAGCGCTTCCGCCTTCGGCTCCCCCCAGCAGGCGGAAAAGGCGCGTCATTTCGACCATTTTGAAGAACGCGCGGCTTATGGCGCGCGGGGCGGCGGAGGCGTGAGGGAACGCGCTTATGGGTTGGGGGGAAGCGCTTGAGGGTTGCGGGGAAGCGCAACTGGGTTGGGGGGAGGTGGAGATGGGGAAGGGCAAGATTCCAGAGGCCAACGCGGAGGTCGATGCTGCCGCAACGGGGTTGGGGTTTAGCGATGCCACGTCAGCAAGGAGCTCGTACGGGTTGGCGCACTGCGCGGCGAGCGACCAAAGGTCCAACCCCTGCCGGCACGGGGGGACGGGGGAGAGAGAACGGGGGGGAAAGAACGGAGCGGATGGAGGAGCGGGGGGCGGATGGGAAAGGGGAGGAGGGGGGCATTGGGCGGGGGCGGGGAAGAAGCGGAGTGAGTGCATAGAGGTGGAAGGACGGGATGGGAGAGACAACGTGCTAAGTATTCGCGCTAACTGGATCAAGCTGAATAGTTTGAAACTATTCACGCATGGAGCATTGCTCAAACTAGAGTGGTTTGTCTGCTTGCATTCACGGCTTTAATCATTCACGGCTTAAATCATTCACACCCTCCAACCATTCACGACTTTAACCATTCACGGCTTTAACCATTCACGCCCTCGAACCATTCACGGCCCAAACCCCGTTCGTACCTCGCGAGTCGTGAATGCCGTGACCTCGTATTTGCGTTCCAACAGCGAATCCCGCGCTTCAAGCAGCCAGTCGCGTGACCGCATGATCCAATCACTGTCGGGATCTGACACGCTGGCGAGATCCTCATTGGCCGGATTTTCTGCCACGTCAACAGCAAAGCTAGCGGCAAAATCCTTACAGGCGCTTCGAGCGGATGGTATGGGAACAGAATCTGAGGCTCCCGCCAGATCAGCTGCCGAAAGCCGAGTCGCGAGAATGTCCTCCAACCCCCTAGCCGTTAACTCTAGCAGACGGCCATCAGGGGGTAGGCTGGTCGCAAACACGTTCTCCGTCGGCAGGGAGACGGCGAAACAGCCCAAGCCGTCAAAATCATCAAGATCGTGACGCTCTTCGAGGAAGCAACGAGCGGGATCCGAAGATCCTTCCAAACACAAGCCGATAGGAATAGAAGGCCCCTTAAAAAAAGAGCCGATTGGATCTGAAGATCCCGTGGGATTTGAAGACTCGTTGGGATCTGAAGCGAGGGCGGCGTTTGTAACTCGCGAGCAGAGCTGCTCCAATCTGTCGCGACTCGCATGGTGGCTGGGCATGGCGAATGCAAGACGGCAGGGAACGACGGTGAGAGTAGCGCGCGGTGCTTGCGGATCGAGTAGGGCCTGGTCCAGGCATGTCATCTTGCCTTGGTGAGAATAATCTGGTCGATCAGAAGAGAGGGGGGAAACTAGTGAGGATTTGTGAGGAGTGGGAAGAAGAGCAAGTGAAGTTGGTAGCTGGAGCATGCACCAATACCTGTTTGATACATTGTTTTGCGACATGTTCATTGGCTTTTCGAGCTTTTGGGCGGACGCAAGAGAGGATCCAGCTGTTCATCTATACCTGTATTTTACAAAGAAACGTTCCATCGACGGTCCCAAGAAGAGTGATGCTGTACACATGATGCCCAGCCAGTGCACGCGAATTTGCCCTGCACCGGATGGAAACGCTGCACCTGAGGTCCTTTCCCCAGCCTGTTGCACCCACGATACAAGCACGTCGCGTGGTTATGGACCAATAGTAACGAACAGACTGAAGTCAAACTGAAGAGACTGAAGTCAAAATGTCAACGAATAATGTTACAGATACTTAATATAAGCACCTGCGATCCTTTTTAGCTAGCTGCGAATTGACGAAACGTATGCGAAATGAACGATACAGCTTATACGCCCCCTTCACAAGGCGACCGGGAGGGGCTCAAACAGGCATCAATTGTACTGTACAAAGAAAGCGAGTTCGGTGAATCTGTGATCTTTCCAATTTTGGCATTCCACTCCACAGTTCCTGGCACGCCTTTCCACGTCACAGTGCCGTGTAGATTGCAGGGATTGGTCGATGTATTTTTCTGAAGGCGTGGAAGCCGAACTTGCTGACGACGACGGCAGTCAGATTATTGTCAGCTCACCCTCGCAACTGACAGCTGCCTTCATAGTCAGACCCCGTAAGCGGATCATACAAATGTCATGTGTTGCTAAAAAATGCTATACTCTAAATAACGTTCTATAGGGAAGCTGCCTACATCTCTTCAACCGGAAAACTATGTCCAACTCGTACGCTTTAGAAAGCGACGTAGCAATGACCTGTTCCCATGCTTGCAATCTATGGGCCCAACATGTTCGCGAGTGGGCACATTAGGCCAACCGAATCGCCCCTAGTGCGCTTCGACGTCATCCAATGGCCACTATCGGGGCAACCGTTGTGGACTTCGCTTCGCTCGTGAGAATTTGGAATTTCGCCAGCGAATTTCCCTCTTCCGAATGGCGCCACGAATTTCACCTGACCAGCACAGCCCATCGTCCCTCACGCAAATCGTCATGTCGCTGCGCCACATTGCAGCAAACTCCCCACAGGAGGGTTCCCTCTGTGACCCTGTCACACTCTCCCTGGCACAGCTACTGACTGATGCCCCTCACGTAACAAGAGACCTACAGACATGTCCTAGTTCCACACCATATATAGTACAGCCGAAGCACTCGTTTCTACATCCATTCTAAACTCCAGTCCAGTGCCTTCTAGCGTGGATCACTTTCCCGATCTACATATAGCAGCCCTGCACCTAGCTCCTCTCCGCACCACGTTAGTCTCTATCGCTCTGCTCGTCTCTGGAGTCCGCGCGATTCCCTCAAGCAGATAAAGAGAATCACCATGGCTCACAAAGCGGTATCCCTTCTCGTTCTCTGCGTGCTTGCTAGCGCGACCATCGCTCACGGCGCTCGGCCAATCATCCCCACGACTCTTAGCGCAGAAACCGCATCGCAGAGACAATCCCCCTTCTCCGCGTCGAGCCTCTTCCGCTTGGCCATGGCCGCCTGGAACGATGGCGCTCAAGGCGCCATCCTCCCATCCGCTTCCGAATCCAACGACTCCCAAGGTGAGCACTCGACTCATCAAGCGCCGACTGGGAAAGCTTATCACACCCCCGCCATTGTTCAATCACCCGCCATTGTCGTTCCGTTCGCCGTTGGGTTGATTGCAATCTTGCCGCACACTTTGGACTCCTCCCGCAAGTGACTCAGCTGCAGTTGTTTCTGAGTTCGCCTGGCACCCTGCTTTTCCCTACTGCGAGTCACACATCCAATCCCCATCGCGCATCCACTCTCATCGCATATCGCACACCCATTCAACCCTTTTCCACGAATACTCCCATTCCCGTCTCACCCAGCTCGCGAGCCAACGAGCTCCACTGTCGTCGTTGCGCCCGAAGTCGCGCCGTTCGAGGAGGACGTGGATCCCGCTGCTGCTGACGTGGCGGTGTCGCTCCCCGGATCCGACAACCTGATCATCTCCCGTGTGCATGTGAAGCCGGCGAAGATCGCCGAACCCGCTGACGACACGGACGACAATGACGACAATGGCGACGACATGATCGTCGAAGACGACGACAACGAAGATGACGACAACGAGGACGACGATGACGACGACGCCTTTTCGCGACTGATCGCCAACGAAGAGAACGAGGAGGCCAGTCTCACGTCCGTCTCTCTGCCTGGTTCTGACAACGTCATCGCGGCGATCCACAAGCCCCGGAGCCATGTGGCTTCCAAGCCTAGGAGCAGCTTCAGCGTGTCGCTCCCTGGCTCCGACAACGAGATCGTCGCGTTCGGCGTTCCTGCGACGCTGGCGACTCGCAGCGTCGTCGTCGTCGCCAACGATGCGGAAGTTGCGGACGAGAAGGTGACGAAGGACGAGGAGAATTCCACCTTCCACGTGTCGCTTCCTGGTTCGGACAACGAGATCTGGGCCCGCAACGTGCCCCACAGAAAGAGCAACGTTGTGGCGATTACCGACGACTCCGACCGCGATTCCACCACCACCGCTACTGCCACTGCCACCACTGCTTCCGCCACGCTTTCCCGCAAGTCTGACTCGATTTCCTCTGCTGACGACAACACGGCATCCGTGTCGCTCCCTGGTTCCGACAATGTGATTCAGGCGTTCAACATTCGTGGAAATAAGAAAAAGGTCACCTCATTTCAGATGTCACTTCCGGGTTCCGATAATGTTATTACCGCGTACGGCGTGCCCGAGAGGAAGGGGCTGACCGTTGTCGCCACGGAGACCCCGGAAGTCGCAAAGCCTGCCGCCACAGAAACGACGGCAACTGTTAACGAGGTCGCAGAGGTGAATGCGACTACGGACGATGTCTTCACGGTGTCGCTCCCTGGGTCCGACAACGTAATCGCTGCACTGCACGTTCCCCATAAGCGCAAATTCGTTGTTGCGCAAGCGTAACCTTACCATAGCAAGCGCAAATAATGGGGCAAGCTCAGCCCCTTCCAAATAATAGCTGGCTTTTCTATCACGTCCCTTGTTTCCATATATACTAAGCAATCATTAGCTTCCTGTTTCCATCCAACACTTCAGCTCTACCCTGTATCACACTAACCTATGTGAATGAGAAGTCTTACTTATGGGCTGTAAGAACACTTGAGGGATGACTATCTGAGCTACCAGTAAGCTCTTATACATGCCCTACTCCCTGATAATTCGGCCAGAACGCCGCTTATAACGTATACCAGCCCAGTCTATGTACGGTACCCAGCTGGTCAGCATGACACAAAAGGGGTACAAGCTGTTGTGTATAAGGTACCCAACCCACACACGCCACAGCGCATACTGCCGCTCTCTGCAGCCACATTTCCCTCGATCAACCACCGCTATTGCTGCACGAGCTCGGCAAAAGGGAGCCTGAGGGTCAAGAAAGAGGCAGGTCTGAATATGCGCAGCAATCATTGCACGGAGGGCGAGAGAGGCGAGGGCAAACGAAGCAAGGTGAAGCTGTGCGAGTGAGAAGCCTAGAGGGAGATAGGAGAGATGGGTGAGAGCATGGTGAAGGAGTGAGGGAAGGAGGGGTAGGAGGAGAGCAGGCTGCTTCAAGTAAACTCCAAGTGTGTTGCTGTTGAATGCGGTGAGTGGTGGTGGTGGTGCTGATGCTGCTTCTGGCAACGGGGCAGCTGTTGGTGAGATTCCGCCACTCAGGATGCTGCATGTTGCATTAGCTTGAGCTAAGGCAGCATCACCAAGGCATGCATCACTGGCAGCACCCCCCGTTCCTCCTGCTGCTGCCACTCCTGCTGCTCCTCCTCCTGCTGCTGCCGTTCCTGCAGCAGCTACGCCATTCTGTGACGCAGCTATAACGGAAGCACTGAACGGCAGCACACGGCAAACCACACCGACCACAGGAACCTCACACACAGGAGCAGCAGCCCCAAACGACCCAACCATCTGGAAAACCCACGCAGCAGAACCGGCCACGCAAGGCAGCAAATACTGCACCAGGAACGAGAGCGAGACGGCCATCGACCCAACCATGACAGAGCTAAAGGCCATGCCCATGAGCAGCAGCCAGAGGTTGAGGCGGCGGTTGAGTGGGGAGAAGTACGTGGTGAGTGCGAACAGCTGCCGCCGCAGGTAGCTCCAGAACTGAAGGGCGGAGAAGTGGGCGTCTAGGGGGTGTGCCAGGAGCGCGTAGGCTGGCGATAGCATTGGCGGGTCGCTGCTACCGGGGGTGCTGGGGTTGCTGGGGGTGCTGGGGCTGTTGGGTTCGAGGCGGCTTAGCCTGAGACGCTGTGCACAATCCAAGGCCCTGCAGGGAAGGCTGCTACCGCGCTGCTGCTGCTCCCGCTTCTCACATTCCTGAGCAATCAGCTGGGATGATTCCTCTTGGCACGCCTTGCTGCTGCTCTTCCTGTCTATGCTGCTCCTATTGTTGCTCCCATTGCTGCTCTTGCTGCTGCTCTTACTGCCACCGTTGCTGCTCTCGCTGTTGCCGCTGCTGCTCTTGATGCTGCTCCGAATGCTGTTGCCCACTGCCCCCAGCGTCATGTCATCCGAGTACCCTCCCTGCCGAAGCACATCCACCATGCCGAGCCTGTTGCTTCGGAAATCCCCCAGCCTGAGCATCATGCACCCGCCCCAGATATACTCCGTGCCGGCATCATAGGAAAAATTAACCAAAGGGACCAGATGAAACCCTAACACCGCGTACGAAAACAGCGACCCCGGGTTCGGAATGTCAAACGGGTACCCGGTTACAAGGAACGTGTCGGGTCGGCAAAGCATGTCTGTTACGAGGTAGGTGATCGCCTCTGGGTACATTCTCGCGTCGTCGTCCAGGAAAAGGACAAACTCTGCTTCCGGGTGGGTGGCAGTGACGCCGGCCAGCTGGTTGTGGATCTTTTGGCTGCATGTGGTGGAGGTGCCAGCTACCACCACGCGAACCTTCCTCAGATACACCCTCCCCTGCTGCCTGCACGCAATGCCGCTTTTGTTTGTGGTCTCCCCTCCACATACCACCTCCCCTCCACATACCACCTCCCCTCTACATACCGCCCCCCCTGCGCTCATAGATTCCCTCCCCTGCCCTCCGCCCGCCCCCACCTGCCCTCCGCCTACGCTCCCGTGCCCCCTGCCTTCCTCCTTTTGCACCCTCCCTCCCTCCCCCTGCACCCCTCCTTCCCTCCCCACTTTATGCGCAGCGTTGAATCGCGCTGCGAGCTTGCACGCCTCGCGGTACGCGAGGTCCGCCTCGCTCTCCACGACTATGAGAAACTCCACGGGGCCCGCGTAATCCGCCGTGATGTGCGTCGCCCAGTTGCTCGCCGTGTGCGCGTGAAAGCCGCGCACGGGCATCACCACCGCCACCGCCGGCCAATGCGGACAGCGCGAGCTCTCCGCATTTCCCGTCATGTTACCACTTGAAGTAATCACTCCGGCACGCGGATTGTTATCGCAATTGCCATCGTCAGTAGAGATGGTACCCCCGCCTGGTTGCTGCGCGCCGCGCTTTCGCTTCGCGCGTTGAGGATGCTTTTCGGCGGACGCGCGGCGACGCGAGCGGAGGCGATCGAGGGATTTGCGTCGATTGCGGGCGGCGACGGACCAGCCGTACGTGTGGAGGAGGAGCAGCAGCACGCCCGCCACCTGCAAGCCGTGCAGGAGCGCGACGACCAAGCCCATTCAGGTGACTTTTCAGGTGCCTTTCGAGTCGACTCAAAAGTCACCAGCCGTACGTGTGGAGGAGACGTCTCAAACCAGCAGCACGCCCGCCACCTGCACGCCGTGCAGAAGCGCGACGACCAAGCCCATTCACGCGATCACGCCTGACGTCCGGCCACGTCTGATGTCCTACTGAGATCAACTTACAACTTGAAGTCGCCAGGGAAATTCTAGAACCTGTCGAGCAGCTTGAATAGAACTGGTCGAAACGGTCGGAACACTCGCCGTTCGAACCTGATCGAACCTCTCGAACCTGCCGAACCAGTCAAACGGGTCGAACCTCGAACCTTTCAGTTTATTAAAATTAACTGTTAGAGTCGATCCTCTTGAGCCCGTCAAACCAGTCGAACCGCTCTAGAACTTGTCAACTTGTCGATTTACTTCAGACCATGCGCAATCGTGGAACGCCAGACGCGCGCCCAGAAGGCTACCAGAAGAAATCGAGAGCCAATGCTAGTGGCGGGAATCAGACGGTGCATCAGTCAGAATCCGTAGTCAAAGACGCGGAAATCCACCAAACCTACTTTTGAAACGACTGTGAATATCCCTTGGCTTGAATTGGTCTAAAACGTAGCATGGTTCCTCCTAGAGCTTTTGTGAAAGCGCAAGAGTAGTCTAGCAATGGGCACGAAGCTGGGAAAGTCGCACAGAGAAAGCAGACTGTGATCATGCTGAGCTGGTTGGGGAGAGAAGACTGATGACGTGCAGAAGGCAGGCAGCCATGGCCATGTCCCGCGCCGCACTGACAAGCTTCTGACAAGATCTGTTTGCGGCCCTGTTCGATGGCACTTTTTCAAGGGTACTGAAAACGCATTTCGCCCAGCGTCGCAAAAATCGGAAAGCAGTCGCTTGTTACGAAGTCGGGAGTTTGTATTGTAACCACCTGAGATGTTTTCTGACAGGACACAAAGTGGGATTTTGGCTCGGGGATTGGTTCGACGCTCAAAAATCGTGTGCGAGCCCCCTGGGTTGGGTCGATTTCCCAAGCAAAGCAGCAAACCCGCCAATCATGATTCACGACGTGGACATCCATTTCCCAGACAGTGTTACCCAAACCAACATTCATCTGCCTCGGAAGTAGAAATCAGTAGAGTATCTGGATTTTTTGGAGCGAACAACATTATTTGTTTTTGTGACCGTGCATGCTTTTGCTGAAATTTTCGAGGGTGCGCCTCTTAGTCGGGCAGTCCGTCGCCAAGGCAAACTAGCGAATGCATGGCGGGAACCGCTGACGGTGAAGCCAGCGCGGAAGGAATTTCTGATTGTGGGTAAGGGTGCGTCAGATCCGTTGTCGGAAAAATCCGGCCGGCCGGAATTAGCGAAAGTAACAATTTTGCTAGACTCGCAACATTTGTCGTCGACTTCGCCAGATCCGGCCATTTCTAAAAAAAATGATGGCCGGTTCAGCATTCGACAAAGTTCCGTCGTGCAGTCGACTTGAAAGTCGGGAAAATATCATATTGGGGCTGAGCAGTGCCAGAGAGGTGATCAAAGTAGGGCCGGTAAATGTCGACCGTAGGATTTCAACCCGGGAGCTGACCAAACGACTCGGTGAACAAGCCGAACCATAAGTAAAAGACAATTGCTAAAAAAAACCGAGTTTCGTGTTCATTTTCATTATTAAGGGTTTTTACCACCTTCTACGACAACGCGTGCGTCGCCTTATTTGGAAATTATTTTCGGCGTCTCAAATCGTGAGTACGTAACATCATAATATATTCTGGGTGATACATATCACCTACCTTATCGGAAACGCACAGGAGAAAAAAATATTACCCATTCGGAAACGGATGCAACTCGGGAGGCATAAACCCTAAATACCATGAAGGTCCCCTTTTTTAGGGTTGATCCATCCCGAAATTACATCCAGGTTCCCTATGAGTTTTAGTTTGTTTTGGCTGCCCAAGAGTTCCCCGTAGAGTCAGCTCACTAAACGACACGCGAGCGAAAATGCGAGCCGGTACATGCCACTATAGCAGAATTACGCGCAAAAAACAAAGACCCTTATGTTAATCCCTCCTCGCGCAGCGGTTCGGTCAGTTCCGGGCCTCTTGGCCCCTGATCGATCACCCCTCTGGCACTGTTCGGCCCCTGTATGATCTTTTCCCTTGAAAGTCGACCAAATTGTCGACCTGGTATCGCTACAGTCACTATGCGACGTCGCCAGCTCGTGCGACGCAACGTGTCACCCGCCCAGCACCCGAGCCGCCCAGCGGCCGAGCCGCCCAGCAGCCGAGCCGCCGAGCCGCCATACAGCCGAGCCGCCTGAGCAGCACTGTCCGGTGAGCACAACCCCTTTGTCACTGCGTGCCCTTCCCCTACTGCTTGCACTGCTGGTCTACTGTTGTCATGGCTACCCCTAGTGTCCTCGCTTTTGACGCTGAGGGTCGAGCCATTGACCTGCAGCTCTTCTTACAGTGCGATAGGGCGGACGGTCTCTCTCTTTTTGACCTCACCTCTGGCGCCTATCCTGCCCCTGCTGCTGATGCTGACCCCACTGTTCGCTCCCAGTGGGCCACCCGCGATGTTGCTGCACGTCTTGCTGTGCGTCGCCACCTGCCTACCACTGAGCGCGCGCACTTTAGTCAGTACAAGAGTGCTCAGACCTTGTACGACGCTGTAGTTGCGCGCTACTCTTCCCTGAGCCGCCTACTCTTCACTTGCCACTGCTGCACTGAGCCGCCTCATGCTACCGTACCTCTTCTCTGACCTTGCTGCCTTTCCCACAATCGTTGACCTCATAACGCACCTCCGCACTAGTGACACTCGCTACCGCGCCGCGCTTCCTACTGAGTTCTGCGCCAAGAACCCCCCCCCATGTACATCACTCTCTATTACATAGTCACCCGCCTCCCTGACTCCCTTCGCGTAGTCAGGGACCACTTCCTCTCAGTCTGTCCCACCACTCTCACTGTTGACCTCCTAGAGAAGGCCCTCCTAGCAGCGGAGAAGAGCATAGTCGCTGTAGGAGCCTCTCGTGGTGACCCTCGCACCCCCGTCTTTGAGGGGTGTTCCCCTTCCCCCTCTTTGAGGGGTGTTCCCCTTCCCCCCTTTTGCCCTCTGCCGCCTCTGCTGCTGCAGCCACCCTCGTTGGTCTTGAGTCGGTCGGTGCGGCGTCTGCCCCTAGTAGGAGACGCCGCTCTCGCAAGGGCAAGGGGGGCAAGGGCGCGGGTGGAGCTAGCGGGGGTGGTGGAGGTGGCGGTGGAGGCGGCGGAGGGAGTGGGGGTGGCGGTGGGAGTGGTGGTGGTGGTAGAGGTGGTGGTGGCGGCAGCGGAGGCGGAGGTGGCGGCAGTAGTAGCGGTGGGAGCGCAGGCGGAGGTGGTGGCGGAGGTGGAGGCGGCAGTGGCGGAGGAGGTGGAGCTTGTCGAGGTGGTGCCTCGCAGCGGAGCGGTTCTGGTGGTGGTCAGCGCCAGCAGCAGCAGCAGCGTTCTCAGGACATCCCCCCTCCTCAGCAGCTCCGTGAGTGGTACACGCAGCGTCAGCGTGGTGGGGGTTTTGGTTCGTGCACCTACGTCCTTCGCTCCGGCGACCGCGGAGGTGAGCAGTGTGGGGGTGCCCACCCCACCTAGCGCTGCTTTGGCCGCCTGACGGACGCTTGGCGTCAGCAGTTCCCCGAGGCTAGTGAGACCCCCCGCTGGGGAGAGCTGTCTAGGGCAGGTGTAGCTATCTATGATCTTGACTTTGATGCTATCCTTGCTGCCATGTATGCTGTGACTATTAGTGATGAGGGTGACTGTTACCGGTGTTTCCCGCCCGACCTGGGCATTGGTACTGCTGCGCTAGGTGCTAGTAAGGCTGCTGCTCTAGGTGCCAGCGCGCCTGCGCCCTCACGTACTGGTGAGGCTGCGCTCTCAGGTACCGCGTCGGCTTCGGCCTCCCTCACCTTCACACTTGACTCAGGGGCTTCTCGCTCCTTCTTTCGAGACCGCACCACACTCACGCCGCTTGGTCGGCCGCTTGCAGTCTCCCTGGCTGACCCCTCTGGGGGTCCTGTCCTCTCTCACTTCTCCACTGTCCTCCCGTGTCCGGCTGCCCCCTCGGGCACCTTGTCTGGTCTTTACCTTCCCTCGTTCTCGACAAACTTGGTGAGTGGTGCTGACCTACATGATGCGGGGGTTCACCAGTTTACTCCTGCGAGTCAGCGGGTGACCCACTGCTCGGACGCCCGCACGGGCCGACACCTGGCCACGTTTTCGCGTCGGCCGGGGTCGAGCCTCTACACCCTGACCACTGAGTCTCCTCCTGTCCCTGCGTCAGGCCAAGTAGCTGCGTCGGGTCAGGTGTTTGCTGCAGCGTCCAGGTCTGGTCGTGAGTCTGCCCCCTGCTCGTGTCGCCTCCTGTCTCACGAGACTCTCCTGTGGCACCACCGTCTTGGCCACCCCTCCCTGCCTCGTCTTCGAGGCATGGCTTCCCGTGTCCTTGTCTCTGGTCTTCCCCAATCCCTCCCTCCCCTTCCTTCGGGGCCTGGTCCTTCCTGTGTCCCTTGTGTCGAGGGGCGACTCCGGGCTGCCCCTCACTCCTCTTAGTTTCCCCCGACAAAGGCTCCGCTGCAGACGCTTCACATGGACGTGTGGGGCCCGGCCCGCGTCCATGAACAGTGTCACGAGCGCTACTTCCTGCTGGTGGTTGACGACTACTTGCGTTACACCACGGTCTTCCCCTTGCGCACCAAGGGTGATGTCACTAAGGTGTTGATCGACTGGAATCGCGTAGCTCGTCTCCAGCTCAGGAGGAGCTTCGGCTCGTACTATCCTGTTCTACGTCTGCACTCTGACCAAGGCGGAGAGTTCTCCTCTGGCCTTCTGCGAGCCTACTGTCGTGCGCGAGGCATCCACCAGACCTTTACGCTTCCGGACTCTCCACAGCAAAATGGGATTGCTGAGCGCCGCGTTGGCGTGGTCATGGACGTCGCTCGTACGTCCATGATGCATGCGGCTGCCCCCCATTTTCTGTGGCCGTTA